TTTTTTAAAAGCAAAACTTTGCTTCAAGTTTTAGTGGATGTTAGCTCGGGCCTTCGGCCCTCGCTTCTCAAAATTTTTAGAAGCAAAACTTTGCTTCAAGTTTTAGTGGATGTCAGCTCGGGCCTTCGGCCCTCGCTTCTAATAAATTTCTTTGAAACAAAATTTTGCTTCAAGTTTTAGTGGATGTCTAAAAAGTTGCAAGTTTTGGATTTTAAGTGGATATACTGAACTATCCACAGTACTTATAAAGATGAATTTAATATTAAATTGAAGCACATACAGGGGTTTATTAATGGTGTGTTCGGGATAAGTTTTAGATTATTGCTTAAAATTTTGGATGGATGACAGCTCTGGCCTTCGGCCTTTGCTTCTGAAAAATTTCAAATTCTGGGATTTTAAATGGATATACTGAACTATCTACAATACTTTTGAAGATTAATTCAAGATTAAATTGAAGTACTTATAGGGGGCTATCAATGGTGTGCTTGGGACAAATTATTGTTGGATTTTTGGATGGATGTCAGCTCGGGCCTTCGGCCCTCGATTCAAAAAAATTGATTGAAGCACTACTTTGCTTAAGATTTCTGTGAAGATTCAAAAACAAAAAATTCAAAGTTGAAGCAAATTTGCTTCAAAAATCAAAAATTCAAAAGTTGAAGCAAATTTGCTTCAAAAATCAAAAATTCAAAAGTTGAAGCAAATTTGCTTCAAGTTTCAAAATTTCAAAAAATTCAAAGTTGAGGCAAATTTGCTTCTAAAACAAAATTTCAAAATTTGAAGCAAAATAGCTTCAAACCCAAAAATTTAAAAAGTTGAAGCAAATTTGCTTCAAGTTTTAAAATTTCAAAACTTGAAGCAAATTTGCTTCAAATCGAAATTCGAAACTTGAAGCAATGCTTCCACAAAATTTTGCTTCAGATTCAAAACCTGAAGCAGAAACATGAAGCAGAAGCATGCTTCTGCTTCGGATCCATCCTCGGATCCAACTTATCCCTCACAAAATTTCCCCAGATATACAAATTTCAGCCTTGAACTCTTCTCCGGTTTGCCCCTCATGGTCAGAGACGGAGAAAAATTTCGCCTCTCTGCCATCAACTTCACCTGTCAATCATTTTTTCTCTCTCCCTACCATATTTCTCCGGATACGGTACTCACCCCACAAATTTTCGAACCTGTGTACTTTCGTCAAAATGTACCGAAAAAAATCGAAAAAAATATTTTTGAACTCAGCTCGACAAGGGCTTTCGAATGATATGCAATTTACCATATCTATCTTTATTTTTGAAAAAATAATTTTTTGGTCGAAAATTTTGGCCGAAAAAATTGCCAAAATTTTAAAAAATTCATAACTTAGCCAAAGTGAAGCTTCCTGATAATTTTAAAATTCTATTCTACGAAGAAAAATCTACTCTATAAGGGAAAAATACTTTTACACTCATCCTCCAACAAAAAACCAAAAAATTTTTCAAAAAACCTAAAAATTTTTGAATTTTTGAAATTTGACCCCTACGGCTCCAACTTTGAAATTTTTAAAAACTTTTTCACTTTAAAAAATTTCTAATTTTTAGTACTATTTTATAAACGAAATCCCATTTAAAAATCTCAATCCCTAAAATAGTTATGATTTTTTAAAAATTTCTGAATATTTTTCAGAAGGGGTACCCCTTGGAAAAAATCGAAGGTATAAAATTTTTTAATTTTAGCTCAAAAAAAGTGTTTTATAGTGAAAACAAACACGCTGAGTCCGAATCTGAAAACGAAAAAATTCTAAAAAATTTTCCCGGAAAATTACGGTCCAAAAACCATTTCAGTCCCAGACTTTTGAAAATTTAAATGGATATACTGAACTGTATACAATACTTATGAAGACAAATTTACTATCAAATTGAAGCACATACAGGGGTCTATTAATGGTGTGGTCGGGATAAGTTTTTGATAGATTTAAGTCCCCGAAAATTTAATCCAAAAACCATATCAGTCCCAGACTCAAATCTCAGATTTCAAACTACAAACTTCGAAATTAGTCGTTTTGGTTAATTCCACAGGAATCCCCATTGGATATGCTTTCGAATGACTACTCATTCACCCATATCCATTTAAATCTCAAATCCCGGAAATGTCGAATCTCAAACTATGACTTCTACAATTCGGTTTCGACATTTTTGATAATCCCACTATTCTCCCCTCACAGCCCGCTCTTGAATGACTACTCATTTGACCATATTCGAACTCTTCGAAAATCCCGGAAATGTCGAACCGAAGTTCGAACATCGAATTTTAAGCTCTAACATATCCCATTGATCCCCCCTCACCTCATTCGACCATATTCAAAATTTTCGAAAATCCCGGAAATGTCGAACCGGAGTTCGAACTCCGAATTTCGACTTCTAACATATCCCATTGATCCCCCCTCACTCCCCTCTCTCGAATGACTACTCATTCGACCATATTCGAAATCTTCGAAAATCCCGGAAATGTCAAACCGAAGTTCGAACTCCGAATTTCGACTTCTAACATATCCCATTGATCCCCCCTCATTATCCGCTTTCGAATGACTACTCATTCGACCATATTCGAACTCTTCGAAAATCCCGGATTTCGAAGTTCGACTTCGAAATTCGACTTTCAATACTTCTAACATATCCCATTGATCTCCCCTCAATATCCCCTTTCGAATGACTACTTACACGTCATATTCGAAATCCCGGAAAGTTCGAACTCGATTTTCGACTTCCAAATTCGACTTTTACTTCCCCTAACATATCCCATTGATCTCCCCTTTATCCCAGCTCTCGAATGACTACTCATTCGACCACATTCGGAAATCCCGAAAAAACCCGGAAATGTCGAACCGAAGTCGAAATCCTCTTTATACCCCTTAATACTCATACTCATACATCCCTACTAATATATTTTCGAATTTCCCTAAAAATTTTCAAAAAATTTAAATTTCCGCCAAAAAAACCTATTTGAGTACGAATTGGACACTTCAGGCTCACGAGGCTACAGACTTTTGGTTTGACATTTTCGACCCGAATTTTTTGGATTCGACATCTCCTAATAGTGGCACATCCGCCTCCCAGCAGAACTTTTCCGGTATCACGAACCGTTCGGGATTTAGCAAAAGTTCGAACCCGGTTTCGACCCCTTCCGGCAATTTTTCGAACTCGGCTATATTTTTCCTAAACGGCCCGGATAAAGTACCCCCCAACATGTAAAACTCCCAAATCCGTATCTCAACTCGAAATCGAATTATGATTTTTTAAAATCGAACTTCCACATTTTTATATAAGTATGTAACTAGCGATGGGTTTGACCACTGGGGTGCCTATTACGATACTGTGGCGGTAAAATACATCGTGGGGTTCTTTAGGTTACGATATTTCTGCCCGTTGGAAAGCCTAACGGCTTTGGGGGCGCGCTTCGCGCGCCGCTAGCGATTTTTTATGTCTGGTTTAATTTTCTTAGAAAAAAAATTTTAAATAAAAATTTTTGAAATAAAAATTTAGACTCCCGTTTGTACCGTGCTTAGCCATTGTCTTACAAAAGTAAAACAATGCCCAGAGTACACCACGTGGAGGTGCACGGTGGTAAACGGGTAAACCCTGTACTCCTGGGGAGGGGGGACGGAGAAGAGGGGGGCAGTGGCGAGGAGGGACAGTGGCATATTTATATTTAATTTTTTACGCTGTTTCTATTTTTTTCTATTTTTTCGCGTTAGGCCTGATAATGCAGATTTTCTAAACATAAGAAAAGAAAGAAGAAAAAGTTAAAATGAAAAGAGAAAAAATAATTTTTGTAAAAATTTTTTAAATTTTTTTGTTAAGTTTATCAATTATCAAAAACAAATTTATTTAAAAATAATTACTAATTTATTGTCGTCCTGGTGGCTCTCTTTTAACTAAATCAGAATCAAGAAATTTTTATTTTGGATAAATTTTAGGCCCTTCCGGTTTATAATTTTCATGATAACATCGCCAAATTTCAGAAATATGTTTTGGGCATGTATTAAAAAGTACATGGATGAGCCTTGAACTTCACAAATACATTGGTTTAAAAGAGAAAAAAATTTTGTAAAAATTAATAGTATTTTATAAATATAAATAATACTGCCTATTTCTTGATGTGTCATCCATTCCAAATCAAAGGGAACTTCTCGACCATCCCCTGAAATATTTTAAATCCCCTGAAATATTTTTTGAAATATTTTTTTGGGCCGTAAATTAATCCTATTCCAATTATCACTGTGATGGGCATGCCCGGCTTCCTCAGCAGCAGCAAAAACCTCCACAGAGACAATAGGTAAGGAGTTAAAATTGAATATTCGAATTTTTTATTCCAAAATCGAGTCTACTCCCAACTATATTTTTTCAATTTTTCGGGACCTATAACTCGGCCCATACCGAGCTGAGTCGAATGACATATAATTTGTCCTACTGGTACGTACCATTTTAACCGATACTTCTCAATCCCGAAAATCACGGATCTCGAAGTTCGACTTCGAAATTCGACTTTCATCTTTATCCGTTATCCCCACGAACTTTCCTCACCTCCAGCTCTTGAACTACTAATCACTCACGCAAATTTCTCAATCCCGAAAAGCCCAGATTTCGAAGTTCGAACTCCGAACTTCGACTTTTGTCTTTATCCGTTATCCCATTGAACTCCCCTCATTATCCTCTTTCGAATGACTACTCATTCGAGTATAGTTAAGAAACCCGAAAATCATGGATCCCGGAGTTCGACTTTGCTTTGGGTTTCTATATTTGCTTCAACTTACCTTGCTACAACTCGAAGCTTGCTTCAATTTCAAGTTTCAACTTGCTTCCACTCGAAATTTTACCCATCAATCACAATTTCTCTCTCACCTCTATGATTTGCCCTCAGGAATTCGTCATTTCCGACAAATGTGAAAATTCACCGAAATCCGGATTTTTATAGACGCATATCTACTTTAAACTTGGAATTTTTTGCTCGAGTTTTTTCCTACATATATCTACATGTTCCAACTTGAGTCCCTCCCAGCGGAACTTTTCCGCGATCTTTATCCATTTCAGAGATATCCTCGGTACTTAAGCGATTTAGGTACCGGGGGCAATTCGATTGCAAAATCCGTATTTTTCCCAGATGCCCCATTGAATTTGACCCCGGACATGTAAAACTTTCAGCCCATTATCTCAACTCTGTAAAGACTTCTAAATTTTGGCAGCTCAATTACGAAAACTTTCTTGAGAATATATAATAAATAATTAAACTGAAAGATATTAACTTACAAAATTTATTCTTTCGGATATACATATTAGTTATAAATATTTTAAATATTTTATCACAAATTTGTACAAATTATCACTCATTTCCATCAATTTTTAACATTCTTTTTTTCTTCATTGCTTTTCTTATTATGTTTTGTATTTTTTGGAGGATTTCGCTTTTTACATTTACATTTCTTTTTTCCTTTTTTAGGTTTTTTCGTAGTTTTTTCCGATTTTTTTGTGGTCCCAATAATTTTAGTTGTTATTTTTTCAATAAATGAAGTTGGCTTTGGTGGCTTAACCGTTGTTGGTGGTTTGGTTGTTTTCGTTGTTTTTGCTATAGGTGTAGAGGTTAATTGTTCTGTTGTCTGATGTTTCTTATGTTTTTTGTCTTTCTTTGGTTTTTTGGTTTTGGACGTTTTGGACTTTTTGGGCTTTTTTGTTGTTGTTTTGGTTAATAGTTTGGTTGTTATTATAGTTGTGAGTTTCTTTTGAGGTTCTGTCGGTCTTTTTGTTGTAATCATTGTTGTGGTCTCTTCTGGAATTTCATTTGTAGTGGTTTCTATCAGTTCTGTCGTCGTTCCCTCTTCGGGAGTTAACGATGTCATAGTTGTTTCTTCTAAAGGTTCTTCAGTTGTGGTGGACTCCTTAATTGATTCTGTTGTTGTAGCTTCTTCCGTCGTCATAGATTCTGTCGTAAATTCTACATTCTCAGTTGTAGTCATAGGCAACTTCTTCGTTGTGATTTTAATTTCTGGTGATTTTACAGGTGTGGTTGGTTTCTCTTGGATCTTTATTGTTGAAGGTTGAGTGGTTGGAGTTTGTTTTTTGGGTGTTGTGGTTTCCTCCATCGGCTTTTCTGTCAACCTCGTTGCCTGAGTAGTCGGTACCTCTGTCACTCTCACTGTGGAGGTTGGTTTCTCCGTCACCCTTGGTGGCAACGTAGTTTGTTTTTCTGTAGGTTTTACTGTAGAGCTTGGTTCCTCCGTAACTTTTGGAGTTGTTGTGGTTGGTTTCACTGTCAACCTTGCTGCTTTAGTAGTTGGCACCTCTATAATTTTAGTTGTTGTAGTGGATGGTTTCTCAGTCATTTTCACTGTAGAAGTTGCTGTTATTGTAGCTGCTTTTGTCTGTAAACTTTGATTTTTCCAAAAATATAAAATTTAAACAAACCGACAACACAACACAAACATCATTAACACACGTGCTATTGTAGCAAATATCAGCTAAATTTTAAAGAAATAAAAAAATATGACAAAAAATCCTAAAAATTATATACTAATTTTTAAACTCACCGTTAGGGAAGCCTTTGCAATTTCCGCCAGGACGGACCTTCGAAAGACAACGAGGAGCATCAGTAGAACGATCGCAGAACAAAAATCTAGTTTAAAAATAGTTTAAAAAAGGACTCTCGTTATACTTAAGGGAACAAAGTAATCTGTAAGGAACTAAGTAGCTAGATGTGTAAAACCATGTAGGTAGTCTGTAAGGAATCAAAGACAGTAATCCTCAGGAAATATAATAAATAGTCTTTAGAGAATATCCGTTAAAATTCCCTACCTAGAGCCACAGTCTGTAGTAGCAGTACAATTAGGTTTATCTACGTATTCGTACATATTGTCAGTATAATCATTTTTAAGTCCATCGATATTTTTAAACGGCTTAAATAATATAATAAAATTCAAAAAAATAATTTTTATTTGATTTACAGCAAATTGTGACATCGTCGCATTTCTAAAGTGTGCGGGGTTTTCACAATCCTAAAATCAAATTTTTAAATAATTAAATAGTTTTTAAACTTACAGCAAGATCGGCTGGATAAACATTTTCCCGTTGGGAACGGGTTTGTCTAGTTAGACGCCAATCTACAAAAATCTAAAAAATATATATGAGAGAGGAAAAAGGACCGATAAAAGTTTTTTTTTAAAAATCTTTACTTTATTAATATGACAATGGAAGAAAAAGAATATTATATCATTTGCTGCCTTATTTGGGAAAACTGTCTGCATATCACCGCCAATACAATCGTGAAAAGCTCCATGAGGGTACTTTAAATGGCGAAAAATAAAAGTTAAATTTTTTTAAAATTATTTTACCTCAATCCAATTAAAATCTATTTCATAAGAGCATTTACTACTTGGCTCTGAATAAGCCATTACATTTTCAATTTTTGTTTGAGATAATGTCCATTGAATGCTAAAAATTTTTACTTTTAAATTCGCTCTCAATTATTCCGACACTTTTTTGTAATTCTGTTTGGATGCACAGATCGATAGGTAAAGTTTGTGAGATTTATTTCAGGAAATCTTCGATACTTTAGACTAGGGGTAGACATCCTTAATTCAGCCAACACCCTTTTAATCCAATTTATTCCTCAAAATTCTCAGACTTTCAAATCCCCCAATATCTCGCTCTTTTTCATTATTTATTTTAATAATTAATGAAATTATAAAAATGTATATGCTCTAATAAGTACCCTGGGCAATTATTGTTTCAACCTCGCTAAAGAGGGTATTAATAAAGAGAGTGTAATTAATAGAGTGGGTAATTAATAGATTTTTAGTCTTTTTAAGGGCAAAATTTTGGAATTGATCTCTAGGGGCAGATGATCACAGAGATTTGTTCACTAGATAAGTACCTTCTAGGGAGGCATTATTTTAAATGAAATATAAAAATAGAATAAAATTACTCGTCATCCTTAAGAAATCTACCATCCTGCCCAACTTGTCTTGTAATATAAGGGTTGCCCTAAAATTAAAATGTTTACGTTTTGTTAAAAAAGAATTTTCTTACCTCCAGAGTTTCCCAAGGTGCAAAGGGTCCAGTAGTTACATAATTTTGCTCGTTTGTTGTGCCAAAAAACTATAAATAATATACAATTACTTGCAAGCTTGATTCTCGATTAAAATGATTATAACCCGATGATACTTAGGAGAAAGAAAAACTAATCTACAGACTATTTTCCTTGTTTCTTTCTATCTCCATGTTCCCTTCAACCTACTTTCCTTGTTCTCTTCAATCTACTTATCGTTCCCTACAGCTTACATATATCTTCATTCCCTTTAGGCCTGGTTGCTAATTAATTTATCACAGTTAATTTACCTCATCAGTAAAGAGAACAGAATCTGCTGGAGTCGGTAACGGACTATCCAGTGTAGAGTCCAAATAGTGTAAAGCAAGTGAAGGGTTTCTTTTACGAATCAAGATTTCATATCTTTTTTTAATTTTTAAAATTTCAAAATGTCAATTCTCATACCTTTTACAATATTCATTGTGCCAAGAAAAGAATGCGGCTCCCATGTGAGCACCGCCTTGTTCATAGGCAAGTTTGTGTATTGCAGCTATATAATCATAATCTGAAGTATCTTTCATGTCTCTAATTGCTTTAAACTTTAAAAATATTTTTTAAAATTAAATAAATTTTTTCAAATTATAATTTACAAGTTCATTTCTTTCTTCATCTGATATCATTCTTATTTCTTTACGAAGTGCTTTTTGAACTTTTTGGCCGTTTGGGAGGGTACAACCATTAACAGTACCATCAGTTTTGCCTAAAATTAATTTTTTGAAAAATTTTTTACGGTTATCTTTCAAAATAGCAAAATTTCAAAATGTTAGATAAAAATAAACATGAATGTAAAATTACCTCCATAATAAGGACAAACACAACTTTGACTTAAACATTTAAGTTCAGGCCTATCGCTAGCACTATCTTGAGTCATTCCTTTCCTTACTAAAAAATGGATTAATTTTGTATGAAATTTTTTTTTTAAATTCTAAAATTAATAAAATTTTAACTTACGTGGATTTTCAGCAACAAAATTGGAAACATTAACCATTACATTAGCCATATTTTTACAAGCATTTTTTATTGCATCGTCAGGTGCTTTATCACAAATTTGGGGGGATTGGGCGGAAGCCGAGTTTAAACATTTTAAGATAATAAAAAGGAAAGATAAAGGACCAAGTTTTTTAAACAACATCTACAAATATATAAGAGATAAAGGGATTAAGGTAGAAAGAGGGGTAGGTATTTAAATGATAAAGAATTGAAACAAGGAATGATTTAAGCCTTAAGAGGGTCTGGGGATTAGTTTCACTTATATCTTTTTTTGAAGATATCCGACCAGGAGCTACCCAACACTGCCGAAGTTCATTGCATTGTGTCGGCGGGTTAGTGCACGGTATGGTTTTTTACGGCTCTTATTCTGACACTTACAAATCTTGACTCCGACTCCAGCTCTGGCCAAAGCTAACTCCGTATCTAATTCTCGAAGTCACATCCAGCATTCCAGATAGCGACTTTTTAGTTATTCCCTGATTATGGACAGCAACTAGCATATAGATTTACACTAACAATAAGTCTCGTTGGGATTGGGATTCCAATCAAAATTATTAGGAATACTAAATACCAATCCGACTCGAAAGAATTGAGTCGAACAGGATTTCTACATTTACAGGACTTCTACATAGCATGTCTAATTTAACCAAAAAAGGAAAGGGTAAAGAATATTTTCTATAAAATAAAATAAAATTATATTAAGAAAAATTTTATATATTTAAAAAATTTTAAAACACTTATGTCTGAAAACGTGGATTCTCTTTATAATTTAAAGCTATTTAAATAATTATTGACGCAAATTTTTAAATTTAGAAATTCTTAAAATAAAATTAAAAGAAGTCCTTTTTTTAAATTTTATTGAATATTATAAAGTGTTGGATATATTAAATTTAATTGGAATATTAAAATTTAGGCGTGGAAATTCTAAAATATACCTAAAAAAGTTTGGGGTGGTTAGGCTAAATTTCTGAAAATTTCCTCAAATTACTTTAACATTTTTGACTAACTCCTTCAAAAATTTCAGAATAACAGATAAAAGCCTTTTGAAGTATAGTCGATAAACCTTAAAAAAAGTAGGCATTTTTTGGTAAAACGCCATTTTTGGCTATAATTTAAAAAATATTCGAGGGTTTTCTTTACAAAATTTTTTATTTTTAACTAATCAATTTAAAATATTCTAAGCCCACACCCTAACGAGCACGCGCCCTACTAGCCACTTCTTCGTTTATTCAGGTAATTTAAAATAAATTTTATTTTAATAAATTCATTTATTAATTTTATTTCCTCATTAATTTTTTGTTGTCAAAAATTTTTTTCCTCAAAATTTTTTATTAAAAAGTATACATTTCACGTGTCAATTACATTTTTTAAATTAAAAATTTCTACGGCTATCTAAAAAATAAAATTAGTATATTAAGATGCGAGCGAATCGCTCGCAAGACGCGAGCGATTTTACTTAATTATTAGTTTTTCTATCTTTTCCGACTAATTTCTACGGCTATCTAAAAAATAATTATTAACATATTAATAACATATTTAATAACATATTCATTTATTAATTTTATTTCCTTATTAATATTTATTTTAATATTTATTTTTTAATAAATACTTAATTGTTTTTTTTATTTAATTAATACGGTCCTGATAAATTAAGCCGGAATCGAGAAACTACTTCGGCCCCTCTTGTATATACTCGGTTTAGTCCCAATATTTTAATAAGATTAGGAAGGATGCGGGGATATCAGAGGGGTTGAAGAGAATATTTATGAATAATTCAATCCTGTGTTTTGGATAGAATTAAGGGTGATTAATTGAGTTCAAGGAGATGCCGTAGGATTTGGTGAAATTAAAGCTTTTTCAAAACCAATTTTAACCTATAAAATGAGAGACTAATCGATAGAGAATAAACTGCTCTTTCAAAATATTCGGGTCTGTAATTCAAAATAAATAAAATTTGAATATACAGGGTGTTTCAACTAAGAAATACTATTTGAAAAATCCATAACTTTTTTCTGCGTTGACAGATTTTAATGAAATTTGGTATTTTATATCTATATTTTCTAGGATTTTTTTAGACATAAAAATTTTTTCGAAATTCGAACCCTAACCCTGTATTTCAATTTCGTACTCTACCGTTCTCTTTTTTTTCTCTTTGCATTGCATGCTATCTTACTTCATTTATTTTCCTGCGTATGGCGAAGAGTGGATACTGTATTGCAGTTGTAGTGTCTATCGCCTAGTGTTTACTCTAGTGTCTATCGCCGCTCAAAAAAAACAAAAGGGAGTAAGAATGCATGTGCGGAAAAAGGGAAAAACAGAACGGTAGAGTACGAAATTATCTCGGGTTAGGGTTCGAATTTAGACATAATTTTTATGTCAAAAAAATGCTATAAAATATAGATATAAAATACCAAATGTCTTTAAAATCTGTCAACTTTGCAAAAAGTTATTGAGTTTTCAAATAGTATTTCTTAGTTGAAACACCCTGTATATTTAACTAAGAATAATCGATTACCTACTGACAAATCTCAAAAATATCGAAAAGCAAGAATATCCCTGTCTTTTTTTAAGCAAGAATATCCTCTCTTAAAAGCAAGAATACCAATATGCAATAAAATGCCGAAATATGCACAAATATGCTATAGGAACCAGGTCCCTAATGTTCACACCGGAGTAAAAACATCATTTTTGAACGTTTCAGCATACCCGCATGCAAAATATACATTTGCATGTTTTACTCCCAAATCTCTATCAATCATACTTTTACGCCCTGAAATAGCAAAAGTAGACGATTATCGCACGTAGAAATACAATAAAAGGTGGTTGTAGGTAAAAGAAAAGAATGATGAGAATCAGGATGTCCTACTCAACTTGATATTTGCCTTATCACATAGGATTATAGAAAATTCGCCTTGTTATTTTACGATTGTTACTTTATTTCTATGAGAATTTTTTTTAATTTCCTATTTAAATTCAATTTTAAAAAATTATTTTATTTTTACTAAAATTAATTTGAATAAATTTTAATTGACAAACTTGGTCTTTGATTTTTAAAATTAAATCTTTAAGCTTTATTTTTTTATTTTTTACTATTTGAAAATAATTTTATAGAAGAATAAAAAATATTAAATTTGGCACTGTTGGCAACCCCTCCCGACCTCGATTTTTCTCGTAAGATTTTAACCTAAACTAGTATGTGTGCAATCAATGTTTTTTAGATTTTTGTGAAGTATTTAAGGAACAAACTATCAGATTATTACTGGAGTTGTCGTTTAGAGTTGTTGTTTTTTTTGTTTTGTGTTCGGCACGGTACTACTGAAAGTACCAAAGAGAGGCAACCAATATTTAAAAAAATTGTATAGAAAAATGAAATTTGAACAGAGTACCTATTGTTCATACCGACGTAAAAATACCATTTTTGAGCATTTCAGCAACATTAGTTAGAAAACACTAGTTCGGTGGCGAAATTATTTTCCATTTCTTTGAATTTTAGTGCCTACATATTTTGGTAGTTTTTTGTGCCTACAATATTTTTATTGTTTAAAAATCCTAGCTCTACTTAATGAAGGATGTCTCTAAAATGTTAAAAACGTCAATAATTCTTTGGGTATTCTTAAAAACGCCGAACATTCACTGAAACTAAAATGTAATTGAACCAAAAACGAGGGATTTTGCAATCCAAAAATTTGAAATAAATTTTATTGGAAGAAAAAAAAATATTTTCTTTTTGGAAAGGCATGTTTTGCAGCTTTATTTAATTTTAAAAAAATATTTCCTGCTTTATTCATCTGAAATTCATTTTTAATCTCTAGTCTTTATTAAATTAAATGTTTATTTTAATTTTGGCTTTTTTAAATTTAAAGGCAAATTTCAAAAATAATTTTAAAATCTCTCCTTCTCTCTCCTCACTCTCTTAAGTGTCAGTAGCGTGGCAAAAAATTAAATTTCAATCGAAAGCAATTTTTAGATTTTTCCCTCATAAAATCTCTCCAAAATCGGTCTTCAAGCAACAACCACGTCAAATATATCAGATTGTCAAATAAACATTTAAAATATTTTAGAGGAATATTTAATTGAGTTGGATTGATTAATTATTTTATTTTTCAAAAATTTGTTTATTATAAATTTAAAAATAATATTTTTTAGTTTTTTTTAAAATTGCTTGCCTTTTCTTGAATATTTAGGGGGGATTTAGTTTATTTTAGTAAATTTATACCGTATTTACTCTGGTAATTCCCCAGGGGGATTATTGTTTCAACCCATCCTTAGGGTGGGGAATTAATAGAGACTGGGGAATTAATAAAGACTGGGGGATTACTAGAGTAAATACGGTATGTTAATACTGTTATATCTAACAATCAGATTAAATGATCTGTAATAGAGAAGTGTGGGTTAAGAATAAAGTTGAGCCGGGGCTTCGGCATCACGAACCATCCCTGATCTGTAGCGGGTTTTCATTTACAACCCTTATTAAAAATATGGGAGGCATATACAAACAAGCAATATAAAAATATCAAAATGCTTAGACTCTCAATTTATAAAAATTTATTTTATCATAAATTTATATTCTATAAACAACCCCTCATTAAATATGATAATTTTTTAAATTTTAACCTATTTTTAGGGACATACATAAATCTGTATAAAATGTGTTTATTATTTATACCCTTAATTACCTTTTCTTTGGCCAATAATATTCATGCCCAATCCACAGTTGATTGTAATACGGCCCCAAGTAATGATCTTGTAAGTGCATGTTCAGCTATAGCAAAACAAAGAAAGCTTGCTGCAAAAACAGAAAATCCACAGGTTTTAAGATTCGATATTTACTTAAATTTTTTGTTAATTTTTTAGACTAATAACGAATTTATGGAAAGATGTAAGCATTTTTAAATTAACAAAAGTTGACATTTTGAAATTTTATTTAAAATCAGTTTACTGTAGAGAGAGAGAATCAGTTGGGGGCAAGAATAGTCTAGGGGATATGCCTAGATTTTAGTGTATAGGGGACATTTGAACAAAATATGTAGGTAATCCGAAGGTGACAATATTCTAGTCTTGAAAGGGCAAAAGGAGTAGACCTAAAAGAATAAAGGGGAACGAAAGCTGTAGCTCCTAGCTGGAGTCGGCTCCAGAGCTTAGTTAATGCACATATGTCCATAGTCAATGTTTAGTCAATTTAAATTTCAAACAAATTTTTAAAATTTAAATCTTAAATTAAAGTAATGATAAGTGAACTAACAGAAAATGCTGCATCTTTAGACATACTTTCTAGGCCTGAATTGGAGTGTGTCACCCAAAGTTGCGTATGTGCATATTATGGAGGTATTGACATTTTTAAATAATTAAATTTTAACATTATGAAACTTGACATTTTGAAAGATAACCGTAAGAAAATTTTTCAGAAATTAATTTTAGGCAAAACTAATGGTTCTACAAATGATTGTACCCTTCCAAACGGCCAAAAAGTTCAAAAAGCACTTCGTAAAGAAATTAGATTGTTAACAGAAGAAGAGAGAAATAAATTTGTAAATACATATTTAATTTTAATTCAAAAAATTCGCTTAAAGTTTAAAGCATTGAGAGAAATGAAAAATAATGGAGATTATGATTATTTTGCTGCACTTCACAGAGATGCCGTTTCCACAGGTTGTGCTCATGGGGGGCAAGCCTTTGCAGGTTGGCATAGAGAATTGACTAAAAGGTGCTTAGAAAGCTTGAAAATTAATTTAATTTTTTCAAAAGATTTGAAATAATGCTTCGAAAAGTGGATCCATCACTTTCTTTGCCTTGTTGGGATTCGACTTTGGATAATCGTTTAAACAATCCAAGAGATTCGATTCTCTTCACTGATCAGGTATAGAAGTAGGCGGTAAAGGTCCATCTCGAAAGGCACATTCATTCAACATCCTTCTCTCTCCTTTAATTTGCCTTAAGTAATCAAAGGGTAGGTTGACAGTTTGGCGCAAATAATAAAGATCTCTTACTATGTATTCAGTAAAGGAGAGAGGGAAGCTGTTGAATGCAGAAAAATGCATTTTTGCAGAATGGCTTTTGCGGACATGTGCCCCTCGAGCTGGACATTTACCGAAGTAGGCTGTAGTTAAGACTGAACTGGGACTGTCGTATAAGACTGTGAGGAACATGATTAGTCTTATACAAGCTTCGAATAATATACTTTTCGGATATTTTTAAGTACTATTATAATTGCTATTAAATTTGACTAGAATAACCTATCATTTATTATCAGTTTTTCGGTACAACAAATAATGAAGGCTATGTGACTACAGGATTCTTTGCACCTTGGAAAACTCTCGAGGTTATTTTTCAAACAAAGTTTTTAAAACACTAATTTTCAGGGGAATCAATATATTTCAAGGGAAGTCGGAGTTATAAGTAGATGCACAACTGAATATGAGTGAGTAAATATATAATTTTTAAAATATATTTTAAATTAATTCAGCGTTGATTGGACACTTTCACAAACAAACGTAGATAATGTACTTGCTTATATGTATCCGGATAAGGGTTGTCCTTACAGTGTAAATTGGGAATGGCTTGAGGTAATTTTTAAATGAGATTGTAGGGCCAAAGAAGCTAGGCCAGAAACGAGCAATGAAGGTAGCGTAAGTTGAAATTACAGGCGGGGACTAATTTTACGACCGATTTTACGTAAAAGGACGGGGACCGATTTTACGAATGATGGGGTTGCGAGGAACGCGGACTGAGGCCCCTCAGCTTTCCCTGAGGAAGGGAGTTCTATGGTGAATTTTCTTCCTCATGGATAGCGTTCCATCCCTAGTGTGAAAAGATCAAGCAATGAGTGTAAAGAGAACAGGGATGTGAAATCAAAATTTTCTAAATCAAATTTATTATTTTATTTGAAGTATACTCATGCAAGAACGCATAAATGTGTTGGTGGAGATATGTCATATCTAGAAACATCTGCTAATGAAATTCTCTTTCCTCTGTTTCATTGTTTTGTTGATTCAGTAAATAAATACATATTTTTAATTAGGGGTCTGTTAACTGGGGCTCACAAATTTATTCTCTCTCACATGTATCTACAACATGTGCATCTTTTAATTAGAGACCGAACTGGGAGTGTCATACAAGCATTGAGATAGATATCTCAGAAAAATATAGATATCTCAGAAAAATGATAGTCAAATGGATATAATTCCGGGCTGTACTATAGTACATTGGACCCGAGATCTAGATTCGAAATATATATTAATTGATTCAAATATGTTTCCGGAGACGAAAACTCACAGAGATATAGGCCCCTTAAATTTGAAAAACCTTAAGGGCTTAAAAAGATGTGTTAAGGGACCAAGTAGTATATGGTGAAGTCGGTTTTGTTCGAAATCTTTTTCTCGGTCCGGTTTCTATTTTTAATCATCAAAATTATTTTGCCAACATTATTTAATTTATAAAACATTTCTAAAGGTATTTGAAGAATGGCGTCAGACAAAACAAAACAGAACACAACGTGTCAATGATTATCCCGAAAATCTCCCTGTATGTTATTAATAATTTTATAAAATTAATTTAAATTTTGTAGGCTTGTTCACCAGCCTGTCATTCTAGAAATGCGACAATGACACAATTTCCTGTAAATTATTTAAATGAATAAAATTATTGAATATATTTAAGAATTTAAAAAATATCGATGGATTAAGAAATGAATATACTGACAATATGTATGAATATGCAGATAGACTTACTTGTACTCCTACTAAAGACTGTGAATCAGAGTAGGGAATAAGTTAAATTTAAAAATTAATTTTCTAAATGATAGATTTGTGTTTTGTGATCGTTCTAATGATGCTCCCATATGTGTTTCAAAGGCTCGTTTAGGAGGACACTGCGGCGGATTTTCTAATGGCAAGTTAACAAAGACAAACATATTGTATTAATGAAGATATATGTCCCTTACAGACTTCTCTTGGGTTTCCTACAGCCCTTGAGAGCCCTTGTATTCCCTACAGACTAAGTCCTGTCTGGTTCACATGCTCCCTTCAGCCAGGGAGGGCATATGGAGGTAAAGAGAGACGTGCGAGATTTCGGCTTTGGTTTTCTAGAGGTCAAGCATGGTCTTGGCGTGCAGTACTAATCTTGCTTTCGTGTATTCTTTTCTGACCTTTTCGGGCCACACGTCTCTAATAGAAAGTAGACTATGTATAGACTAATTTCCAATGTTCATTATAAATTTTACAGACGCGGATGTCTGTTACAACAGTACATGTATTAACAATATTTGTGTTGCCTTACCGGTTAGGGATTTGCAAATATTTTAGACCAAATTAAATTTATAGAGCACCACAACACTATCAGCAAGTGAAGCAGAGGTTTCTAAGACGGCTGAACTTGAAACAAATAAAATTACACTTCCTGGTAAAATTGTGCATGATGACGTGATTGTTGGAAAGGATAAGATTGCTTCAAATTTGACGACGAAAAAGCCGAAAGTCGCTGAAACACTTGCTCCAACGAATGAATTTGCAACGTCTGAACTTTATAAACTACCAAAAACAACGATTGATTCAGCTAAAGAAAAAATTGTGAAAGAAGCTACAACTTTTGTATCTAATCAAGGATCAATTACAACATCTATGCCAACTAAATCAGAGGAATTCACAAAGTCTGACCCTAATAAACTAAACAATCCTTCATTAATAGATGATGGTAAAGTTACTAAATCAACGGAAAAAATTCCACAAGAACCCAAAATTCCTTCAAAATCTTTATCATACTTACCTACAACAACAAAAATGCCATCAAAAACAAAAATTAAAAAACTAAAAAAACATTCACTAATTACAAAAAAACAAAAAAAGTCTCCATCCATAGCTAATAAAAAATCGCTTACAACTCCCAAACCAACCATCCCAACAACTCCTCCTTTAGCTGACAAACCCCTCCAAAATTCTGAAGATGGTCCTTCCAACCTGAAATTTAGTCTAAATCTAAACAATCAAATGAAGGATTTTTTGATGATTATAATTGGCCCTCAGAAGAGTGAAGTTAATGGGAAAAAATAAAGAAAATGTATAGTTGATATATATTATTTACAAATTTTCTATAATATTTACTTTATTTAATTTATATTGCTTTCATTTATCCTCTATTATTATTAAAAGACTAACTGCCTAATTTGTTCCTTACAGGCTTTCCTCAAACTACTCCCTTCCGTGCCCGCTCAACTCATCTAATCCTTAACTCATCCACACGCCCAAAAACGCTCAACTCATCTAAACGGCTAAAATTCCTTAACTCATCCACACGGCCAAAAACGCTCAACTCATCCAATCCTCAACTCATCTAATGCTTAACTCATCCACACGCCCAAAAACGCTCAACTCATCCAATCCTCAACTCATCTAATGCTTAACTCATCTACACGGCCAAAAACGCTCAACTCATCCAATCCTTTGGAACGAGACTATTGAGTACCAGTCGTTTGAGTCCCTGGCCGTTTGAGTCCCTGGCCGTTTGAGTCTCTGGCCGTCTGAGTCCCTGGCCGTTTGAGTCTCTGGCCGTTTGAGTCTCCGGCCGTTTGAGTCTCCGGCCGTTTGAGTCTCTGGCCGTCTGAGTCCCTGGCCGTTTGAGTCTCTGGCCGTTTGAGTCTCCGGCCGTTTGAGTCTCTGGTAAGTAGGGTCCATGACCAGTTGAGTCCATGGCCAGTTGAGTCCATGGCTAGTTGAGTCCATGACCAGTTGAGTCCATGACCAGTTGAGTCCATGGCTAGTTGAGTCCATGACCAGTTGAGTCTCTAGCCGGTTAAGTCCCTGGTCAGTTGAGTCCCGGCCGTTTGAGTGGTTGATTACCGCCGGTTGAGTCTTGGGCCGGTTGAGACTCAACTGACCAGGGACTCAACCGGCCGATATTTCAAGGATTGGATGAGTTGAGCGTTTTTGGGCGTGTGGATGAGTTAAGCATTAGATGAGTTGAGGATTGGATGAGTTTAGCGTTTTTGGCCGTGTGGATGAGTTAAGTGTTAGATGAGTTAAGGATTGGATGAGATGTAGGGTAGCCCTCCCTTCAGCGTAGTTCTCTCATTAGACTACGCTCTCTATATCTATCCCTCTCTATATCCTATCTGTATGCCCACCTTTTTCCATAGATTCATAATTGCAATAAATTGAAGAATTTTAAATTAAAAATTAATTTTTAAGTAATAAATTTTGTGTAGTAATACAAAACAGATCCCTTCCCCATGGACCGTAGAGACGTCTCCCTGTCTTGAATCATAAGAATTTTCGGTCTTGGACATCACTAATGGCGTATTCAGAGTTAAATATAGTGTCAGAAAACTATAAGACCACCTAAAAGTCAACATAGAAAATTAATACACCTGTTCTTATTGTAAAGCATATAGCTATTAATTTCCTAAGGCTATGCAGTAGGCGGCGTGTTGTAATGGCTAACACATCAGTCCGGTCTACTGAAGATGCTGGTTTGCTCCCAGCCGCCGAATAACCTTTTGCACTAGCTAAAGGAGAGAAATAGCTATAGCCCAGGTGCTTTATCTTAAATAATAGTTATTTACTACAAATAAATTTTAAAAAATTTGAAACGAAATGGAAATAGAGCGAGCTATAACTCAACGAGCTGACCCGGATTCGATAATTTTGAATAATGTTATAGCTCGACGGTACGTTGGGGTGTAACCAATTTATAGTTTATATTAGAGTAGAACGATATCGATATTTCAGGAAAAAACGATATCGAGATTGGTCGATATTGACATGACCGCTCGATATCGATATTAACCGTATTATTAACCGTATTAGTCATTTTGACATTGTCTTCAAACCGTTCTTTTTTATAACGTGGCAGAGGCATAATTGAAGAAAAATTTTTATACTAAATTTTACCAGAGATAAATAATTAGAGAACTCTGAACGTAAGCTTACGAAAACATTGCTTTAAGTCTATTAAAATATTAAGTTTTTATTTTAAAAGGTGAATGTCAAATGCTAAATTTATATAAAAACATGTGGACAAAAAAGGTTTATCTTTAGTAGATAAAAGCTTCGAGAAAAGTTTTTATTTTTATCAAATTTTTAAAGCTCACAATTTTTATTTATTTAAATTGGTGGGGGTTTATAAATAAAGCTTTCCAAATTGGCTCGAAATATTTAAATTTACTTGAGGCAGATTTTGTAATTAACACAGTTATCTCCACTTTAATTTACTCCTTGATTGAAAGATTCCCAGGATCTGCCCTCAGAATCTTCCCCTGAATCTCCCCAAGGATGCCTACAGCCCCACCTCTGACCCTACGAATTAACCCTCCCTCTCTCCTTATTAACACTCATAAAGTATTATTTTATAAAAATGATTAAATTAAATTTACAATGTATTAACTTCTAGGAAACAAATTTTTATTAATTTTATTTAAGTTTATTACGTCAATTAAATTAAAAACGATTTATAATATTTTAAACTTGAAATAAAAATCCAATAAAAATTAAAATAAAATTAAAAAAATTCAAACGTGGCCGAGCTAAATTGGGCAAAAAGTTTTTCTAAAAATTTAAATATGTTTCAGCAATACCCTACGAATTAACAGCAATACCCTAATGCTGCAACGTATTAAATTTTTTATTTGAATTATTTTTTATTTTAATTTTATTTAAAGCATTAAGCGTTTATTCTAAAAGGTATATACGTCAATTGCCAAATATATAAAATTAAAAACACGTGGAAAAAGGTGGCTTAACTGATGGATAAAGCTTAGGGGAAGTTTTATTTTTTTGCATTCAGAAAATTTAGAAAGCTAACTCTTTCTATTTTTTAAATTTATTATGTTTTTTAAATTGGTTAGAAATTTATTTCAAATAAATCATTACAAATATTTTTCAATTCTTTAATGCTAGCTGCTCAACAAATCCTCCCTATGTATTCACCCCCCTTGAGATCGTAATTGTCTCCATGGACAATTACGATCTCTTCATCGTCTCTGTTTCCTGTGGACTCTCAACAACTACCTCTATAGCTTTTTCAGCCACTCATAAAGATTGCTTTGTAGGAAAATACTGTAGTTTTTCTTAGATTCACATAGGGAATGCCCTACCGCTTTAAAAAGCAGCAGACAGAAAGTGAGGAGGAAAACTAAAGAAAACGGAATTCTGAGGACTTCATCCCATCCTTAATTCGTATTTCTAATTGTATACAGTCTCTAATATAACCACAAAATTCTTCAATCCCTACAAATCAAGACTACATAATTAATAAAGCATAAATTTTTAAAAAATATTTTTAGTCTTTAACTCAATATTTAATTTTAAATGCCTCCCATTTCCACAATTTTATTTATTTTATTAATTATCATAACAATTATAAACATTTCCACTTCCGATGTTTGCGATAAACTCAAGGATGACAAAACTGCTTTTAATTACTGTAAAAAGGTCCATGGAAATCGAGAGGAAGAAAATGTAAAAAAATTTTTTTATTAAATTTTTTTTTAATTTGCATATTTATTTTTAGAAACCGAAGAACCCAAAACTTAGAACGAAAATGAGAATATCTTATACACCAAGATATGAATTGGCTTGTATGTCTTTAGGCTGTATTTGTCAGTATTATGGGGGTAATTTTGATTTTTGAAATATTAACATTTTAAAATCACGTATTTTTAGGCAAATCAAGTAATCGAGCAACTAATGATTGTACCCTTTCAAATGGCCAAAAACTTAAAAAAGCAAAACGCAAAGAATGGAGAATGTTAACAGATCAGGAAAAAATGGATACAGTAATTTTATTAATTAATTTATTCTTGCATGGATAACTTCAAACAACTTTTCAGATTCATTTCAAACTTTTATTTTTATTTAGTCGGATCATTCGAGTCTTTTCGGGGTTCGAGTTTTTTCCATCCGTAAACAAATGCTCTTAAAATTGAGTTACCGCATTTTCTCCAATTGAACGTGCGGACAATTTATATTTCAATCCATTCTTAAAAGGGTACCGGCGTTCAAATAAAGACGCCGCTCAATTGGAGAAAATAACATAAATTGTTAAGATTATGTCCGTTTAGATAGAATCAGAAGAATTTTTTTTGAAAAAATAATTTTTAAAAATTTTCAAGTTTGCTGCAATTGCAGAAATGAAAAAGAATGGGGAATTTGACTATCTGGCAAGATTACACAAAGATGCTTTTGAAGCTGGAAAGTGGCATGGATGTACATCTTTTTTCGTTGTTCACAGAGAATTTCTTAAAAGAGCTGAAATAATTTTGCGTAAAATAAACCCAAATATTAGTATGCCTTACATGGATGTTACTTTGGATGCTCGCTTGCCAAATCCGGCAGATTCTATTCTTTTTACTAAAGAGGTAATTTTTTGAAGATTTTATTGTAGTAAGAGAGAAAGGTAATAGCTTAGCCACGTCGTGTTCCTGTTAGTCTTTGATAGGCCTTTCGCTTTAAAACACGTAGCAAACATTTTTATATGCTAGCCAGTTCTCCCTTCCCTAAATTTAGAGAGAGAGTAGAGTTGACTGTAACCTATTAAGGAATCTTTAAATTAAATTCCCAAAACGCTCAACTTGTTAAATCCCCTTTTGTTATTTTTTCCTTTCTCCTTAACCTGAACAAATTTTCTTGATTAAATCCCTTTTCCCAATGAAAATTTAGAAAATAATTACCCAAAGTAATTATTTTTCCAACAAACTAATTATTTTTAATTGCAGTTCATAGGTAGTACAGATGGAAATGGTAATGTAATTGATGGACCTTGTGCAAATTTTAAGACACTTCAAGTGATTTTAAGCTTACTTATTTTTTAAATTATTAAAATTTAGGGGGACCCTTATATTACAAGAAATGTTGGTAAAGAAGGTGGAAGATTAATGAATGAAGATGAGTAAGTAATTTTTTATCTCTCTTTAGTTCTTCGCTTATCCCTCTTATTCGGTCTAAGTGCAAGGACATATTCTTTATATTATCTCAATCCGAACGGGACAGGTTCTCTTTAGCCTACACTCTCGTACGAATGGTATGAATCAGGTTATACCTACCTGTTACCTCAGACGTAACAATAGGAATATAAGATTCTAACTGGCATAGACAACATATCTTCATAGTGCCCCCAAACCTTATAAAGCCAAAAACACACTTGTTTGCTGACAAAATTTTGTTTGCAAAATTTTTTACATTTCATTATTTCTACATATTTAAATAATTTTTAGTGTCCAATGGATTCTTGGTCAGACAAAGCTTGATAGTATAATGACATATACAGTTCCTGGTGATAAATGTCCTTGTGAAATAACAAATAAATGGCCAGAAGTATTTAAATAATTTTTTTCTAAATTCAAAATATTTTTTTCAAGTTTGTTCACGGAAAAACACACACTTATTTTGGCGGACTTATGTTTGACACAGCGTTATCGGCTCAGGATTCTTGCGCCTTTTTTACTTTCCATAACTTTCTGAATTTGGTAAGACCTTAATATGTGAATTATTTGCGGAAAAATACTGGTGATCAGATTTTTTTACCTTACCGAATTCCGAAAAATAACGATAAAATACCCTAAATACCTAAAAATACCGAGAATTTTTAAATTTTTATTGGTCGGTATTCCGTACCATACTATCGACACAGAATACCGATAAATACCTTCGGTAATATACAGATAAATACCGCCCGTATAACCTCCAACAACCGATAAATATTTTAGCTAGAGGATGGGACAAAAATTACTCAGGGTAATTATTCAAGGAAATACGGTAGTTAAACCTCGCTTATGTTACACCCGTTTGTTTAAAAGAGTGTAGACTACTATAGTGGGGGTGTTTTCATTTTTATTAAATACAATTTTTAAACAGATATTTGAGAAATGGCGTTATATGCACCAAACTAGAGAACAACGTTGTACTGAATATCCCAAAGATAACCCTGATTGTTGCCCTGTTGACCAATACAGAAATTCGTCAATGTATTTAATGGAAGTAGAGATTTGGAATTTTTATTTATTAAAAGAATTTTTTGTTTTAAGCCTTTATTAAATTGTGATGGGCTAAAAAATGAATATAATGACAATATGTATGAATATGAAGATAGAAGTGTTTATACTTGTAATGCTACTACAGAATGCCCATCAATGTAGGAGATATAAATTTGAGAAGAGCTTTCTTATATTCCTTCCGACTCTCCTTTTCTTTTTGAGACACCGCCTATGTTCCCTTCAGCTTCGAATTACCTCGCTCCCTTCGAGCATTCTCCCTTCATATTACCCCTAATGTTCCCTATAGATTAACTCCTATTTTTCGAAATATCGCTCTAAATCTATTTTTAAATACGAACTCTAAATTGAATTTCCATCCTTCTCCCTTAAATAGCTTTCTTGAAATAACGTCATAACGAGAATTAGTGTTTAAAATCATTTTTATAAACTAGATTTATGTTCTGTGATCGTTCAAAAGGCAAACCTTATTGCGCGTCAAAGGTAAAACTCGGTGGAAATTGTAAAGGATTCCCTCCAGGGACGGATGTTTGTTGGAATGGAACTTGTGTTAACGATGTTTGCGTTTATGTACCGGTTAGGACTACAAAAAATTTTTTGAAAGAAATTTTTGCAAATTTTAGACGACAACACCCTTACCCACAACAACACCCTTACTAACAACAACACCCTTACCCACAACAACACCTTTACCTACTTCCACAATTAAAATGCCAGTAGAAACAACCACTCTTGCTTTACCCACTAATGTCAACATGGAGTCTACAAAAACGGCTGAATCTGAGACAAAAAAAGAACCAGACTTCTCACCAATAACAACACCAAAAGCCTTGGAACCTCCCAACTCTCCAATACGCATTTCAAAATCTCCATCATCAACATCAAATCCACTGCCAATAACTGTCCCTGGGGAAATGAAAAAAGATCTTCCAAATGTTGCTCCAATTGACACTACACCCCTTCCAAATACTACCAAAACCTCTAAAATAACGGGTCCAAATCCAATCGAAAGAAAATCGACTCCAACAACTAAAAAGGTGCAAAACACTACCCCTTGTAATCCATACAACTTGAGCCCGAGTGAAAAAATAAAAGAATATTTACGACGCTTATTTGGAAAAAAGCCAAAGAATAAATGCAAAAATTAATATAAATTTTATTTTTGGGGTTTTTAATTTAAATAATTTTTTGGGTCTTCATTAATTATTTTTTATGGCCGTAATTACAAGTTGCCTCTGATGAGATGCGAAAATTTTATTTATTCCCGAAAATTCAAAATTATCGAAAAGTTTTGGGCCAAAAACTCGGGTTGAGAGCGGTATCGTTAGGTTCTAGAGATTAGTTAAAGAGATAGGTCCCCATTTTCGAAAATAAGGAATTGGGGTTTGATATATAACAGGGATCTAGCTGACATAAAATCCCGATAGGGAACCCTAGTCTGCAGGATCCTTGAAGAACGATAAATTTCTCAAAGAGACTATCTTTTTTTAACATTTACATATGTAATTTTTTTCTAAATAAAATAAAAGTTTGGGGGACTTTATATTTTAATTAAAAGGAGTTATTTACAGCGGAACTTTAATTCTTTAAATTAACAGAAACAAAAATTTAATTTAAAAATTTATGGCATTTATAAAATTATATGTATAACTAGAAAGAAATTTTTTCTGTTTAACCGGGTTTTCAATTAAATTAAAATTTATTTTCAATTTAAATATTCATGCAACTGTTGATGGCATACCACTACTTTCTGGCAATTTTGAAGCAGTTTTTATCATTCTTTCTGCATGATCGTCTTTGTCGTTACTTTGTTTGACTTGTCGTGAATTTGTTTCACGCTTTAATAAAAATAGAATTTTGTTGAAAAATTATAGTTAAAACTCACTATAAGTTTAACTTTGGGCTGATAATCGTTTCACATATTACCTCCCATATTCCCTTCAGATTATCTCCTATGTGCTCTTTAGACTATCCTTTATGTTCCCTTGAGACTAGCTATCTTCCGTTCAGACTACCCCTCATGTTCCATCACCTGTTCCATACACACTATCCCCCATGTTCCCTCCAGATTACCCCCTAAGTGCCCTTCAGATTACACCCTGTGTCTTCAGGCTACCCCCTATGTGCCTTTAAGACTAGCTCCTGTGTTCCCTTCAGACTAAGCTAAACTTAACACCATTCTCATCAGAATAATAAAGTTAAAATTACCACAATCCTCGAAAAGCTAACATTGTCCACCTCAATAGAAGGAGGAAAACCTAGAGAAGAGACTTCATTCCCCCGCTTCTTGCGTCCAGAACGCGCACCGCGACAAAGCTAAATTCAATTAATTAAAATTTATCAAATTTTTTTCATTACTTGTCTAAGTTGAAAGAAAGAAACACAAGTATTACAACTACTTTTGCAATTTTCCAACATCCACCCATTTTTATTACATTCTCCTTGCGATGCCCATTGTCCGCATTGATTGTGGTAATCGCTACAAGCTATTTTTTTAAATTAAAAAAATTTTTTGTTAAATCTAATCACTTCCATAATCATAATCTTCGGAATAACACATTCCACAAGCTACTCGACAATTACAAGTCATCCAAGCTTGGTTTTTGCGACATTCTCCCATTGCTCCCCACAACTGAAAATTTTCGATTTAAACAATCTCGCTTAGGTAAAAAAAATTAATTTTCCAAGTTTAAACCTTCATTTGAGTTGGGTGCCGGAATTTTGGTCACCGGAATTTTGGTCACCAAGTCAAAAAACGGAATATTGGGCACTGAATTTTGGTCACCATAAGGAATTTTGGTCACCAAATGGAAAAAATAATCTTATCTAAAACTGAAATCAAAGTGATAAAAAAATGATTTTTCAACCCCCATTTGATCAATTTCAATGTTTGTCACTTTCCCGGCTGATCAATCTCTCAGTTGATCACTCTCACTGATGATTGATTAACTGTGAGAGCGATCAACATTGAAATCGATCAACTGGACGTTGAAAAACAATTTTATATCACTTTGATATCTGTTTTAGATAAGATTCTTTTTTTCCGTTTGGTGACCAAAATTCCTATTGGTGACCAAAATTTCAGTGCCCAATATTCCGTTTTTCGATTTGGTGACCAAAATTCCGCTGGTGACCAAAATTCCAAAAAAATTGGTGACTAAAGTTCCGAAAATTCGTGGTGACCAAAATTCCGTACATCTTTGAGTGTCTCCTTTATGTATTCGGTATTTTCGGTTAGGTACTCGGAGGATAAAGATGCTCCTCTAATATGCTCGCTACGATTTTTCCATCCTTAAAGGGAGAGATCCTACTGTATTTAAAAGTAGGATCTCTCACAAGATCTCTCACAAGAGAGATCCTACTGTATTTAAAAATTAATTTGCGACAGAAAATACCCGCTAACAAGAAACTTTCTCCAGTCGATTATTTACAATTTTTAGTGATCCAACTACCATTGCATTTTTAATCCACAAAAAAGCCGTCCTATTTTATCAAAATTATCTAAATTAAAATTTACTTGACAACAAATATTTTCGTTAAAACAGCCAGGGGATTGACATTTTGCTTGTTGGGGTGGAGCTTGTGTTACTCTGTCTATAAATTTATTTTTAAAAAATAATTTAATCAAAGAGCCAACTTTGATTTGTTTTGCTTCCCTGTCCCCCACTACAAACTTGAGCCCTCGAAACTTGGCATTTTCCACAGGCTTGTCGACAATTCTCTGTCTAGAATTTTTTTAGTTAAAAACTTTCTAATTTTCCAAAGTTTAACCATCCAAAATTGGTTGCGTTGACACTCTCCTATTCCAGACCATTGTCGGCAATTTTTGTGTCGATCACCGCATTCTTTAAATTATTTAAAATATGTACATATTAATTGTTTTTAAGAATGAGAGGAGTATTAATGGTGATTATGAAAGAAATATGGCCTAGAAGTAAGTTCACTCATTACTTCTAAGTTGGTAAACCGACTAAGTTACTTGAGCACGCTCTTTTTGCCTCTTTTAATGAATTTTACATCCACACTTGGCTCGAAATCCGAGCCAAATTAACTATCACAACAAAAAGCATTTGAAAATTTTAGACTGAACAGTTTTTTCTGAATCAAGATTTTTGGCTGATATGTACAATCTTCCAAAATCTTGTAATCTATAGAACTCCCTATGATTATTTGAAAAAATAAACACACCCAATCCAATATTATAATCAGGTTGGCACTGAGAAAATAAATTTTAACAAAATTTCTATTTAATTTTACTTGTCTGCAACTAGCTTTACACCATGCATTCATATAAGTTGGATTTCTTTGGCATTCTCCTTTACCCGCCCAAACAGAACAACATTCGTGTTCGTTATAACAAGCAATCTTTTAATTTTAATTTAGTAAAATTTAGAAAATTAATTTACATGGACTGGCTTAAGAGGTGCTTGAGTTGGGGCGGTAATGGGCTTTTGTGTTGTTGTTGTTTGCTATAAGAATTGAAAATATTTTAGAGAAAATTAGTTTCCCTACATATATTCCTCATAATCTACCCAATTTTACTTAATTCAAATCTCTCTCTATCAATCTAAATCCCTTGACATCTCTCTTGATATCCCCCAATCCCTAGATATATACTCTACCGATGTACATATATACAAGGGGTTGGATATCTTATGTGGATTTTTATCCAGTCTTGAATTTATTTTTAAATAGGTTCTAATAGGGCTTTGCGTTCTATGATGATATGTATTTACAATAATCAATTCTTAAATTATTTTTATATCTTAATTATTTTAACAAGCAAAGATTATTTTAATTATTTTATTTTATCTAACCCATAAAATAATTATTTTTATTAAAAAAATTTTTTTACAGTAGTTTGCACGCATATTCCTCCTTGGCATTCTCCATGTGCACAGACATCTTCCCCTCCAACATATCCTTGACAATTTCCTCCAATTTTTATTTTTGCACCACACCGCCCTGGTTGACGAGATTTATCGCAGAAGAGCCATCTTTAAAGAATTATTTTTAAAATCCACTTTTATTAGTATCCATCCAACTTAGATCCACAGTTAGGTCCCATTGCACATGTAGGACGTGGAGCATATTCATACATGTTATCCGTGTATTTATTGCTTAGACCGTCAATGTTGTTCCATGGCTTAATTTTAAAAATAGCTAAAAAATTGGCGCTTTTGTAAATATTAAGGGGATCTTTAGGTTTCCTCCTCATTCTTAAGGGGAATGTGTGGTTTGTAAAGGGAGGTAGTCCGTAGCGGGATCCCGTCGATACGATTAACGAAATTGTGAATTTATTTTAATTGCTGGTAGGATTCCAAGCCTGTAAAAAACTTGTGGATTAAAAACTATAGATGGTCTTTTTAAACACAGAGGGCTTCCGCAAAACAATAGCCCCTCATTCTACATTATCCCCAAAAATTTATTTTTTTAAATTCTTTTTACTTCAAAAGGTCGCATTCTAGCAGAAGCGAAGTGTTGAGGAGCTGCACATTGCTTTAATAATAATTTTTTGTAAATTTATAATCCTTTTTTGCATTACCGCCTGGTCCATAGGGTAACTTGTTTCACGTTCACCTTTCTGTTGTCTACTTAACCTCCATAATTCCCAAATCTTTAAAATATTTTTAAATCTAGTTTTATAATTTAATCAACCATATCCACAAAACCGTGATGAACCCAAAATATTGGATCGTTGGCAGAGGTTGACTGATCATTCATATCACCTCCAATAAAAATGTGAACGTTGCCGTGTGTATACTACAGAAATATTTTAAATATTAAGATTATTTTGGAGCGGTATTTGCGGGCAAGTATTTACGGACAAACTAAACCCAAAAATTGGAAAAGACTACCACTGATTCTTATTCAGTACCATGCTTCTGCTTACTGGCTATTTATGGTTTATAGTAGAGTAAGTCGAGCTCGAGCGAGTTCGAGTTACTCGACTCGACCGCTCGGGTTTTTTGCGTAATTACTCGACTCGGAACTCGGGATCATAATACTCGGATTACTCGAGCTCGGAAACTTCCTACTCGACGTACTCGGTTAAAACCGAGTATTTTTATGCCCCCATCTGCGGCGCAAAAAGGAAGATTTTTAGCTTAAGGATCTTCCAAAATTCTCAAAATTTTCGCCTGCGGCGCTGAAAAAGGAAGAAATCTAGTGTGTTGGTCTTCCAAATTTTTCAAAATTTTCGCCTGCGGCGCTAAAAAATGAAATTTTGCTCTCTGGCCTTCCAAAATTCTCGAAATTTTCGGCTGCGGCGCTGAAAAAGGAAGATTTGTGTATATCGGAGGATTCAATCAAGTTAAGTGGATTTTAGTGATATCCGGATATTTCAAGGGATCTAAAAGAATAGCGAGGGATCTGACTTTCTGAAAATTGGTGTTCCTACCTGACCTTCAGAAATTCTCAAAATTTAAGCCAACGGCGCGAAAAGAGAGGGATAGAGAGAAAAGAGAGGGATTCCAACACCCATAGAGTTACGCACTCTACCGCCAAGATCCACTTATCACTCGATATCCCCATAATCTACACGAATCCCCGAAATAATATTATCCATTGATTTTCAACCCGGAGCCCGTAGTCAACATGGATCGTGTGCATATCATGGAATTTCGGCGGATTAAGAGGGATATAGACGGATTAACGAAAATAACTGGGATTTGGATGAAGATCTAACGCATTACTGCTAACAAATGCTCAAAACACGGCACTGAGGACGAATAGGTTTTAGTAAAAGTATTGTTTTTATTGAAATTATTTAAAAATACTGTTTTATAAAAAATACTCGATTACTCGACTACTCGAACTCGAACTCGGCCTAAAAAGTTGAGCTCGAGCTCGAACTCGGGTTTTCCAAACTCGGATTACTCGAGCTCGGTTTTTTCCCAATTACTCGGTACTCGACTTACTCTAGTTTATAGTGCCCATCATCATGGTTGTCAGTTCGATTCCGAATATCCAATGTTTTTCTCAATCCTACTTTATAACAATCCTACTTTATAACAATCAGTCTCCCTCTCCTATTCTCAAAAAATATTAAACATTTAATAAAACACCTCTAAAGCGTCGAAACTAGTAGATGCTGTGCATCCCTTTAAAAATTGATTTAAAAATTAAGAAAGAAGCTTTAAAAAATACAGCCTGTGGAGCTGAGAAGCTTAAAACCATTTCAATACTAGTCTGTTGTAAAAGCCATTGAATACTTTAATTTATTTTAATTTTAAATTAAAATTAATTTATTTGTTTACTCTCTTTCACGAAAACAATTTCCATCAGCACCAACACGTCTAAGAACATTTGCACGTCCCTATAAATTATTAGAGTCTATCAGTTAATTTATGAGTCCGGTTTTTTTCTTTGGCCCATTTACGAGTGGATTTCCTCTCCCACCTACTGATTCGTACATCGGCATGAATGAAAACTAAACTCACAGTAAGTGTCCGCCATCCACCAAAATCTCCTCCAATTAAATTTCCGGCAGCATCAGTCGTTCCCATAAACTTCAAAAAATTACAAATAAAATTTAAAATTATTTTTAGAATTTCCCACGTCATTAGAAAACATCACAGAATCTTTAGGAGCCGGCAAAATACCATCCAACGTCGAATCCCAATATGGAAGTGATACTCGAGGGTCAACTTGTTTGAGAGCTATTTCAAATCTTTTGACAAATTCTCTATGCCAAGGTAAAAATCCTGGACCGCTGTGAGCACTCCCGGCTGTAGCAAATTGTGAATGAATTGTGGCTATTCTATCATATTCTCCACTTGCTTTAATTGCTTTTAGAGCTGCATGCTGTTAAAGAATTTTTATATTTTAATTAAATATATGTAAATAAAAACTAACAAAACGAGCTCTCTCATCATCACTCAACATTCTATATTCTTTACGAACTGATTTTCTTACAGTCGCTAATGAACATGTATTTGTTCCAGTCTGGCCATTTCCTTTATTTTTTATTAGAAATATTTCTTTAAATTATTTTTAAAATACCTACCTCCTAAATAATTACAAAGACAACCAATATCCATACACTGATAGGGTGTTGAAGCAACTGGTGCAAGTTCGGCTGCAAGCAGGGGTGCTTAATTATGTCAAGTTATTACGGTTGAGGGGATATTTTGTGGTTCAATTTTAAAATAATTTAAATAATATTACCAGGAAGTCCAGGAATGGCAGGAGGGAGAGGGATTGAAGTGGTAACTGCTGGGGCTTCCTTCAATTAATTTTTTTAAATTAATCGTCTTAAAATTTAAATAAATTACCCTAGCATTCTTATCCCACCGATGCAATTGTTCACAAACAATTCTAAGGGCAGAAGTCGGCGCTGCTGAACAATCCATTTGCGCATTTATAAACGAAGGAAATGTTGCAATAGCAACTAATAAATATTTTAAAACACAACAAGGGTTTAGAATACCCATTATTATTATATTTTTCTGAATTAAATATTTTTTTTCAGAATTAAAATCAGAATTATAAATATGTAAAATAAATCATAATTTTAAATATAAAGCTATATTTTGTCCTATAACTTTTTTTATTCTTGACTGATTTAAATAATTATCATATCAATCGAAAGAAATGAATGTTTGGATTAATTTTCTTAAAGGATTAATTTTATCAGTTTATGCTATAAAAGTTATATCTGGATAAGTGCGCTCAATCTTGATTTATGATAGTTATCCGGCTACAACTTTTTGTAGAATTATCTGATCAGATCAATATTGCTTGATAAAATAATCCTTATATTCAGAGCTTTCGATTGATATAAAGCTTATTTAAATCGGTTAGAAATTTAAAAAGTTCTGCCTAAAAATGTGGCTCGAGATTAAGACAGCGATTTTGAAACATCCATTACATGAATTATTCTGATTTAATTAAAATTTCTGATTTAATTTTGAATTCATTAAAAATCTAGTTATTTTCATATTTTTAAATTTAAAATCAAGCAAAGTACGAGAGAAAGTGAAAAAATGACGAGAGAAGGGTGTTTTACATAAAATTTCTGTTTTGTTATTCCCCCAATAATAATTTTTTCTTCTTCTTGATTATTTTGGAGACAGTCATTTGAACAACAAAATTACTCTGTAAAATGTGTTCCATTTCTTTAAAAACAGGTTTAAAAAATAAAAAAAAATTTTTTGTTGAGTAATGCTAAAATTAATAATATGTATTTTTAATGAAGGTGAGAAAGGAATTGAGCGAATTGTGTAAATTTAAGTTTTTGATTAAAAAATGCAAAAAAACTTTTTTTGTACTTTCTATTAAAGAAATTAATTTGTTTAAATGCACTCTTTCAAAAATTATTTTAAAAAATATTTAAATTGTAATTATTTAATTAATCAAGTTATGACGATACTAAAAAATGTTTATTTTTAATAGTTTACTAATTAATTTTGCCGTTTTTTATGATTTTTAATTTTTAATAAATTATTTCTGATAATTAAATTTTCATTTATACATTTAAATATCGTTAAAGTACACCTCTCTCGAGGCCAAATCAGTAAGAAGTAATACAGTTGGATCTCAATTGTACGTACACTTTAGGGGATAAAAAATATTGTTTAGTTAAGTACTCAATCAAGCTGACAGTCAACTTAAAAATTGAAAATAAAAAAGCCTACAATAGAGGACTAAAATGAGGAATAAAATTAAAGAATCGGGTCCTAATAAAAAATTTTGTTGGAACAAGCCGGCAATTTTTGGAGAATAAGGACATATTTATTATAAATTTGTAAAGGAAAAAATTTTTTAATTTCGACCAAAAAACACTTTTTATTTTTAATAAAATTATTTTTATTTTCCTCAAAATAACTTTTAATATTTTCGCGGAGTCAACAATGCCCTCAATTAACTCCCGTCACGCTCCTCAATTTTTACCTTGTTTTTTTTTAATTTTAATTGTGTTCGTCTTAAAATTATTTTTGAAAAAAAAATAATAAGCAAATTTTATTTTTCAAAAATAAACAAAAAGCAAAATTTTTGAAAATTTATGAAAAAATTTTTGTTGAATTTTTTTAAAAATTCTTTTTAAATTTTTAAATTTATTTCCTAATTTTTCTATTTTATCTCTAAAATTTCTTCTGCTCTTATTTTTGGAACTAATAATGTTTGTTTGTATGTACATAAACATTGACATGTTTGGCAAACATCGAGTGTTGTTTCTGTGTTATTTAATAGAGTGGATGTTGTTTTGGATGTTTCTATTGTTGTTTTAGTCTCTTCAATTTCTTCTGTTTTTGTGTTTGGTTGATGTTCTGGTGTTGTTGTTATAATATTCTGAAAATGTTTTAATAAATATTCTGAAAAAACCAGAATTTATTTACCGTGTTTGTTTGCATTTCTGGTGTTGTTTCTTTTAATTCTGTTGTTGTTGTTGTTGTAATATTCTGAAATTTAAAAAATTAAGCACAGCCAAAAACAAAATTTATTTTCCGCCACCTCTTTTGTGCAGACGTTATTAATGCATACACTATCAAAACAAACTTCTTCCCCTTAAAAAATATTTTAAAAAATATTAAAATAAAAAATATTTAAATTTAATTAAAATAATCTTTCTATATTTTAAATAATTAGGAAAATGTTTAGAAAAGCACCTTTAATAAATCCAGAACAATCTCCTCCTAAACAAGCCTTTGCTGCGCAATGAGGGTCTCCATGGGAGAGGTCACAAAATAAATATCTTTAATTTTTAGAATAATTTAAATAATTTTTTTAAGTCTCCCCCACATTGAATTGCAATCTGGAATTTCAAGAGAGCAATTTGGCCTGTCGGCATATTCATACATATTGTCTGTATAATCATTTCTTAGTCCGTCTATATTTTGTAGAGGCTTAAAGTCGTAAAAACTATAAATTTTTTAATAAAATTTACGGAAAATTCAGCCATTGTTGCATGTTTAAAATGTGCAGAAGATTCACATGCCTTTATTTAAAATATTTAGAAAATTATTAAAAAATTTTTACAGCAATATCAGGAGGATATTCAGTTTCTCTTTGATGTCGATTTTGTCTTCTCAAACGCCATCCCTCAAAAATCTTTAGAAAATTAGATTTAGAGAAATTTTCTCTCACAAAATCAACAAAGCAGTGAAGAAAGTAAAAGCAAATATCATTAGCAGATATCCGTGCATCTCCCATATCACCTCCAATAAATCCATGAACATTGCCATGACGGTACTAGAAGGTGAAAAATATGTAAGATCTCGATAAGACAAATCAATTCAATTGTCTTCTTAGGGGAGAAAGGAGGACTTTCTTATCTCTCATTATACCGCTACAATTTACCTCAACGGTAAAAAAATAAATCTACCAAATTGAAAGTTAAATTAATGGCCGCATAAAATTTTTTAAATTTATAACAGAAAATTAAATGACCAGATAACAGGGAACCCGATCCATTAGGCAGGGTTTGTAGTTATAACGGGAATTAAGTAATATGTACACACCTCCAGCCATTCCCAATTTACGGAAATATTACAAGAAGCATAAGGCATTGAATATGAGAGAACATCTCTAATATCTGTTTGCTCGTAGACCTCTTCAATACTTTAAAGTTTAAAAAATAAATTTTTAGAAATTAAACAAAACTCTTGGTCAGTAAAACATCCACCCATTTGACCGACAGAACGTGAAATATAAGGGTTTCCCTGATGATATAATTAAATTTTGAGAATATTTAAATAATTAAAGTACCTCCGTTGTTGGCCAGGGACTAAACGGGCCATTTATTACATAATCGGTGGAAGGGTCCGTTCCCCCAAGAAACTGAAACAGAATTAATTCTGATTTAATTTTAAATTAATTTAAATTTATTTTCCACCTTTTCCGTAAAAAGACACGAATCTTTCGGTTGCGGTAATCTACCATCTAGCGTTGAATCCCAATAAGGGAGATACAAGTCTGGATCACATTTTCTAATCATTAATTCATATCTTTAAATATTTAACTAAAAAAATATTTAATTATTTAGAAACACCTTTTAGTTAATTCTCTATGAAAAAGACAAAAAGCAGGCCCCCCATGCGCCCCGCCCGAATCAAACGCGTCTTTATGCAATCTTGCTAGAGCATCATATTCACCAGAATCTTTTAATTTTCGAATACATTTAAACTTGAATTTGAATTTATTTTTTTATTTAAATTTATTTAAAATTTACGAGTCTATTTCGTTCATCATCGGACATTGTCCTTAATTCTTTACGATATGCTTTTTGAAATTGTTGGCCATTTGGAAGAGTGCAATCGTTGATTGAACCATTTGATATTCCTATTTAATTGTAAAATTTTAGAAAATAATCAAAAAGTCAAAAATAAATTAGCGAAAATTAAATTCAAAGTAGCGAAAATTAAATTTTTAAATTTAAACTTCCTTACCTCCCAGAAAAGGACAACAACAACTCAAAGTTATACATTCTTCCATTGTTTGATTATTTATTGTTAAATTAGGTACATCGCCCGTCATGTTTATTAATTTAAGCTGTATTGAAGTCAGTTCTGATTGTCCTAATATTTTTAGTTTTTTTAATAATTAAATTCTGTTAGCATGTTTGATAGGATATACAAATTCAGAAAAGAGGAGAAGAGGAAATGAGGGGATATATTAAATTTTTATTTATAAAAATTTAAAAATTTTTTTAGTAAATACCGCACCGATTTTTCATTCCTAATCCCGATACGGAATCGGGGTCATTATTATTAAAATTCCGATTTTATTCTAAAATACCGATACCGGCCAACTCTAATTAAAATATGAAGCGACTCCTCTCTCAAACTACAGTATACAGCTCTCTCAACTTACCTAACTTTGCATTCTAAAAATTAAAAAATTAAATTTATTTAAATTTTTATTAATTTTTAAGCACCTCAGCATTATTTCTAACTTTAAATAAGGACTCGCACATTTTCCTTTTAGCTTTATTTGGCGCATCCCGACAGCTAAATGTGAATTTAGGCGTTGTAGTTGTATCTATATTCGTTGTAGTTACAAAATTTATTAAAAATAAATTAATTAAAATACCCAAACGAACGAAAAACATTGCTAAAAAGGAAAATAAAAATTTTTATATGAAGGGAGGATTAATCTAGAAAATTTTCGCCAAGTTTGCACCTTATTTTACATGCAATAGGTAAATCAGAGAAATTTGCAAGCTTTAAAATTTGGCAGCAGCTTTTAAGATGGATAAATTTCTATCCTTGAAACATTTTAATAAATAGGCCCAGTAACTATGTTCGAGTATAGACAATGAGGCTCTGCCTAAACTCTGTCCGAGAACGGCCCAAAAAATCCTAATGATTGATTCTGTTGGCTCGAAAGATATTTGAACGGCCCTGCTTGATAAAATGAGAAACCGAAGGACATCAGCTTTGAAAAACGGCAAAACTTATTAAAATTAAAAAATGAAAACGTGGCCCTAAAAAATACTTAGGTAAAACTAAAATATTAATTTATATAAGTTAAGGCAATCCATAAAAAATTTATAAAAAAACTATTTAAATATAAAAATTTTATGCGTTGTGTTTACAAAGGTAAATAAAAAAATATTTTTTAAAGAATTCTTGTGTTTTGTATTTTTTTATTATTTTTAGTAAACGTGTAAAACATGATGAATTTAAGATGATAAAAGCAAAATTGATTACCCAAAAATATTGTTGTCTGGACGATTTTTGAAGAACCCTGTATTTTTTAAGTAAATGACATTGAATAAAGCAAAGATTTTGCAACAAAAAAGGCATAGAGAGGAATTCAATTTTACAAAAATAAGCTAGGTAATAATAGGCTTGAATCAGAAAAATGTCAAGTTAAACTATAGAAAAGTTTAGTTCGGAAGTACATAGGGGGAAAAATTTTCGAAAATTTTCAAAATATAAGTACGATACAAAAATACAGTTCCTCTCTTAATTTTTTTACAAATGAGCCTTTTTAGCATCGTAGGCGAAATTTTTGAGAATTTTGGAAGGTCATTTAATTTTTTAACCATTGTAGTCTATTTATAATTAAGTATTTACAAATAAGTATATTTTCACTTTCTTAAGTACTAAGGTTGATTATGGCTAACAGAATACCACAAGAATAGAATAGCATGTTTATCAAGAATAACGAAAGTTATTAATCTTTATTCCTTTTAAAAATAAAATCAGTGTTTGCAAGAAACTAGGAAGAGTTGTGATTGACTTCTTTACCATGATCTTTGTCCTGTTTCTCATTCTTTTCTTTATCGTCTTTGGATTTTCCGTTGTCGTTCTTGCATCCTTTATCGTCGTGCTTTGACTTTCCTTTGGGATGCTTGCATTTTCCTTTTTTCGTTGTGGTTGTAGCCTCTTCCTTTGTCGTGGAAGCTCCTTCCGTTGTAGTGGGAGGGTTTGTCAATATTAAGATCTAAATTTATATTGTTTATTTGTTTGGTATTAACCATTAAATTTATGGTCAGAATTCCCATGATGATTTCTATAAGCTAATCATACCTAGATTTATATGCCTGTAGTATTATATCGTTAATAAGAACTTAGACATTATATGAGAATATAAGTGAATATTTATAAATTTAAATATATTAAGCACTTTATGTTTTTACAAAAAAGTATAGAATTTTGATAAATTATTAGGAAAATAAATATTATTATTGTCTTTATGGTTTAATAGTTCAGTCATCCTCATAATCAGGTTCTTCTGTTGTAGTTGTTGTTTTTTCCTGTAAAATACAAGACTAGCTAAATATAAAAGCATTCTTTGATAAATGGAAATGTTAGTTTAAATGGTTAATATTTGATCCTTGTACGATGAAACCCCAAGCACGGTGAAAACCAGGGCTCTTATATGTGCGGACTTTTCCTCATTCTGTGGGTTTTCGATAGGTCAATAAGGATAAGTGAATTTTTGTGGTCTTTTGAAGATTATTAGGATTTTTTATATTTTCTTTTAGTTTTTAAAAATGTCATTACTCTTCGGTTATCTCCCCACATCTCCGCAAATGTTTGTCCGCAACTTTTTGACTTTTATTTCTCCCTTCATCTTTCTCCTCTCATAAGGATTAGAAAGGGAAAAAAGGTAGAGACTTTCTAGCTTTAATAGTCCTTAATTTATGTTGTTAAGTATCTAGCTTTGCGTGTTAGTTTTTAAGAAAAAATTTTATTTCGTTTCAATTTTATTTCTTTTCAATTGGCTCAAGTTAAGTTAATTTTTTATTAATAATAAAAAATTTCTCAATTCAATTTTTGAGTCAAAAAATATAACGCATAAAATTATTGTTTATGATCATTTTTGCGGATTTTAAAAAATTTGGGATAAGAGCCCTGGAAAACAGATAAATAAAAATTGTTAATGTTTAAGGTGAGAGAATGTTAATTTATCAAATAAAAAAAGTTGACGATTATAAAATTAAATCAAATAATAACCGATGGGAATTCTTAAAAAATTGGGCCTTTTGTTTGGAACTGGAACTCTAAGAAAGACCATGAGAAATTTTAAAGGATATATGTTAATACTTACATATAATATTTTATTGTTTTACCTGTTGACCAACACAAACATTTTTCACACATTTACCGTTATAGCAAACTTGTTCTCCTTTAATTTATTTTTTGTTTAAACTTAAATACAATTTTATATACCTTTAGTAAATCCTTTACAATCTCCGCCTATGCGCACTTTTGCTGCGCAATGGGGTGTTACATGGGAGAGGTCACAAAACAAATATCTTTAATTTAATAATTATTTTCTTATTTTTTAATTATTTCTTTTCCTACTTTGACCCACAATCTGGCTTTTTTACTGTACACGTTGGCCTCGGAGCATATTCGTACATATTGTCTGTATATTCATTTCTACATCCGTCGAGATTTTTAAAGAACTAAATTTAAATGTTCATTTTAAATGTTCCCACTAGTATCAGTGGATCAATTAACTCCAGATTTCCTAAAATTTAATACCATATCAGACCCCACTCCCTCCCTCATGTCCCGCCACCCCCATTACCCAACACTTTCCCTACTTTCAATAATAACTATTAAATTACAGGAAATGTTGTCATTTTTGCTTCTTTGAAATGAACAGCAGGTTCACATTCCTAAAAATATTTTTAAATTATAATCTTGGCTCCATCTTTTGCCACAGCACAAACTAGGAGAGCCAATAACACAAAAACATACTCTTTTATCTGGTGTGTATTGAACTGGTCTTTGGGCATAAGTTTGTTGTTTCCAACGATATAATTCCCATATCTACAATTTAAAATCGAAATAATTTTAGAAATTTTTCCCCCACCAAATCAACAAAACAGTGATGACTAAAGAAAATTGGATCATTTGCTGCAATTTTTGGATCGCTCATATCCTCGCCAATAAAAGTGTGTGTAGTTCCGTGGGGGATCTTTAAAAATATTTTTCTCGATTTTTAATTAATTTTAAAATTATTGCCTCCGGCATTCTCGAATTTATGCTAAAGTTACATCTTTTATCTGAAGGGAAATATGACATAAAATATGTTAAATTTTTTTGATCTAATTCCCAATTAATGCTAAATAATAAATTAAATTATTTTTTTAAATTTATTTAGAATACTCTGCTTCACTATAGCAAACTCCATCACTCCCAACATTTCTTTTTAAGTAATCATTTCCCTAGAGAATTTTATTAATACTTTAATTTAATTATTTAATTCACCTCTAATGTTTGCCAAGGTGAAAATGGCCCATTACTTACTTCATTATTGGAATTTGTGCTTCCAATAAACTTAAATAATTTAAATAAATTCTGAGTATTTTTAATTTAATTCTGATTTATAAATCCTTTTTCTCCTTTTTTCTCACTTTCTTAAATTCTGTTTTAATTCTGGTTTATTTAAAATTTGTTTTTAATATTTTCTGATTTAATTCTGATTTATATTTAATAATTTTACAAGTTCGGTGAATAATAAAGAATCCTTAGGTGTAGGCAATTGCCTCTCCAAAGTCGAATCCCAATACGGCAAACAAACATCGGTTGTTTTCATAGTCTGATCCGCAGCTTCCCTAAGCAGTATTTCAAATCTTTTGAGAAGTTCTCTATGCCACGGACAAAATGCCGGGCCTCTATGTGCTCCTTTTAAAAGATAAGCATCTCTGTGTTGAATAGCACAGAGGTCATAAGCTCCGTTATCTTTCATTTGCTGAACTGCTTTAAACTGAAATTATTTTATTTTGTTAATTATTCTAAGATGAATAATTCTGATATGTTTTTACATTAGTTTTTATGTTTTTAAAAATTTCAGTTATGTTAATAATAATTCTGATATTTATTAAAAAGCAATTCTGAATGTTTTTTAAAATTCTGATTTTTAAAGGAATAGGTTTTTAGTAATTCTGATTTATCAAATATTAAATAATTCTGATATTTTTCTGAGATTTTAAAGTTTCTGCTTGTTTACAAATATATAATTCTGATTTTTATTAAATATTCTGATTTTTTCATTAATTAGGAGCTGTTGTATGTTTTTGCATAAATAAATATTTAAGTTTTTTTAAATTCTGATAATTTTTAAATAAAATTCTGATATATTTTAATTAATTCTGGTTTTATTTATGTATTTAATTTATAATTTACATAAGCTTGTCTCTTTTCATCTGACAACATTCTCAATTCCTCTCTAAAACATTTGTTAAGATTTTTGCCGTTTGGAAGTTTACAACCATTTACTGTTCCATCTTTATTACCTTTTTATTAAATTATAAGTAAAATTAAATTTTTTAAAATTTAAATACCATGAAAAACGGGACAAATACAGCTCAGATTTAAACAATTAAGCTCGTCTCTATCTTCCATCGTTGGACTTCCTCCGTCGATTGGAGGTCCTATTGTCAATTTAGATTTTATTAATTAATAAAAGGTAAACTAACCTGGAGTTATCTAAATATTATTAGAAATTAGAAAAAAGTTTTAAAGAGAAAATTGGGATCGGTTGGATTTTTTAAAAGAGTAATTCGTTATTTCAGCTTATTTCCCTATAAAAATTAATTTCAAGTAAAGTCGAAACCGTCCCAAAAAATTCATATTTACTTTTTAGACGACCATGTTCTGTTCAGATAATCTATTGTTCTTTTTACATTACACCCTAAACCTCCCTCCATCACCCTAGACTTCATCAGACTACTTCCTTACTATGATTCCTTCGAACTACCAAAGGAAATTAATTAAATTTCTTTTAATCTACATCCGACCCCACATCCTCCCATTCTCTAATTTTATTTAATTAATATAAATTTATACAGGAGGTGCTTTATCTGCTGCCACCATTCGCTCACAAGTAGATCGTGCTTCTTTTGCAAACTCTTTACAATTAACTTCTGCATATACATTACAGAATAATGAAGTAAATAATAAAAATAAATAACACAATTTTGATATCATTATCAACTTAAAATAATTTTATTGGGTATTAAAGATATTAAGTCTTGGGAATTTTTTAGAAACTAAGAGTTGAAAAAGGCTAGTCGGGAGAACGGATGGTTCGTGGGCGATGGTCCTTTAAAAATTGGGATATAAAGGCCTTTAAGAAGAACCAGAGGCTTTTTGGTAGTCTCTTGCATATCCGCTTGGATATATGAAGCCCCCAAGGTGTACAAAATAGAGATAAGACTGCGAAGGACGTAAGAAAGTCCTGATCGTTGTCCTGAAAAATCTTTATTCTCGATAACATATACATTTTTTGTTCGACATCTTGCCTCGGTCCGATCTCAAATACAATGAATGTAAAGATATCCGACTGTATTTATATATACAAAAATAGAGACATCTAAAAAATTATTTATATTTTCTATTAATGGATGAAAATTAAAATTTAAAAAAATATGTAGACAAATAAAATAACAAAATTTTAATAAAGAAAATTTCTTCCTTGTTTCTTTAGATAAATTCAAAAAAATTATTTCGTGGCAAATGATTATATTTAAATTTAAAAAATTATTTTTAATTGTCTAAATTTTATTTTTAATTTAATAACAAATAATAAAAAAATTATCATGCTTCTTTTTATTTACAATGTTAAAAATATTTAGAAAAATTTATTATTTCCTTGTTTAATAAAAAACAGACAAGGATATAATTTTTAATATTTTTGTTTTTTATATTTTAAAAAATATTATTTATGTAAATGCTATATGTAACTAGTGATCTAATTTTTAGGTTACAACCTTCGTTTCCCGAAATAGTTTTGGTTATCAAAAATTCTTATTAATTTTTGAAAATTCATACAATTTAAAATTTTCAAATTTTGGAAGAATCAAAAATTCAGAAAAATTTTTCTTTGAAAATTGAGAAATTTTGTCATTCTTATTTTGCCGATGAAATTTTACAAAAAATATTCGGAATTATTTTCTTCTATGACTATCCTTTTTTGCAACCCGGCGTGTTGTAGTCAATGATGCAAAAGTTCCAAAATTTCGCTGGAACCGATTTCAGTTCTGAAACTGCTTTTTGAATCTCTTCGGTTCCAGTTCCGGTTCTAGAACTGGAACCTTTGCATCACACATAAGTCTGGTCTACTGAAGATGCTGATTCGTTACCAGCCGCCGAATAACCTTTTGCACTAGCTGGAGAGAAATAGCTATAGCCCAGCTGCTTTACTATTGGTTGACTACTGCACAACCTTAGAAATTAAATAACCATATGCTTTACTAAATAACCTTATGCTCTTATTTTGTTATCAATTTTGACATTTTTTCAACTAGCAGAGGTCGATCGAAATTCCAATTTTGATTTCGGAAGGAAATTTTCTTATAAATTTGAGTCAACAGCGCTGAAAAAGAACGAAACCTCCCAAATTTACTCAGATTTCTGACTTTCGAGCCATTTCCAATTTCCGACAGTTTCTATTTCAGTTACCTTCGTCATTTCCGATCGACCTCTTCTATTCAGGTACCAGAGGTGTGCCGGAACGCCGAAAAAAACCATGAGGTTCCCGAAATAAAACGAAAGACGAAACACCAAAAAGTCAAAATTCGGCGAAAGGCGAAAAGCGAAATAACTTTAATAAAAAGAAATCCCTAGAGATCGGTCATATCAGAGATTGATTAGGTAAATATGTACCTAAGATTACTTAAGTTTAATTATATGTAAGTACGAGCACAACATGGAGGCATATTTCTTGTATTACTCTTTTATTAAAACTATCCTTATACTAGAAACGCAATTTGTTATAAATTTATTTCGTTAACAATACATATATTGACATCAAATACGTTATATGAAGAAATACTTTAGACCGAATGAAAAGCCAGTTTGAATATAATTAATTTAATATTAAATAACAATAAAAATCTCTTTTTTAAGAATTTAAAATAAGTTTCCACAATCGCTTGAAATTCGTGTTTAGATGCATGTAGTTTTCCTTTAATAACAATTCTCGCAGTCATAAGGCTATAAATATTGGGAAATATACCAATTATAAAAGTTATAAATATTAAAATTGACTTCATTATCATCGCATGGAGCTTCTGTTGATGGAGGCTGAGTTGTGGTTGTTGGAGCCTCAGTCGTTGGAACCGCAGTTGTTGGAGCCTCAGTAGTTGAAGCCTCAGTCGTTGGAGCCTCAGTCGTTGGAACCTTAGTTGTTTGAGCTGAAGTTGTAGGAGCCTTAGTCTTTCGAGCTTTTGTTGAACGAGGCTGAGTAGTTGGAACTGCTGTTGATGGAGGCTGGGTTGTTGGAGCTGCCGTCGAAGGAGCCTGAGTCGTTGGAGCTGCTGTTGATGGAGGCTGAGTCGTTGGAGCTGCCGTCGAAGGAGGCTGAGTCGAAGGAACTGCCGTAGAAGGAACTGCCGTTGAAGGAGCCTGAGTCGTTGGAGCTGCTGTTGATGGAGGCTGAGTCGTTGGAGCTGCCGTAGAAGGAACTGCCGTTGATGGAGGCTGAGTCGTTGGAGCTGCCGTTGATGGAGGCTGAGTCGTTGGAGCTGCCGTTGATGGAGGTTGAGTCGTTGGAGCTGCCGTCGAAGGAACTGCCGTTGAAGGAGCCTGAGTCGTTGGAGCTGCTGTTGATGGAGGCTGAGTCGTTGGAGCTGCTGTTGATGGAGGCTGAGTCGTTGGAGCTGCCGTTGATGGAGGCTGAGTCGTTGGAGCTGCCGTTGATGGAGGCTGAGTCGTTGGAGCTGCCGTCGAAGGAACTGCCGTTGAAGGAGCCTGAGTCGTTGGAGCTGCTGTTGATGGAGGCTGAGTCGTTGGAGCTGCTGTTGATGGAGGCTGAGTCGTTGGAGCTGCCGTTGATGGAGGCTGAGTCGTTGGAGCTGCCGTTGATGGAGGCTGAGTCGTTGGAGCTGCCGTCGAAGGAACTGCCGTTGAAGGAGCCTGAGTCGTTGGAGCTGCTGTTGATGGAGGCTGAGTCGTTGGAGCTGCTGTTGATGGAGGCTGAGTCGTTGGAGCTGCCGTTGATGGAGGCTGAGTCGTTGGAGCTGCCGTCGAAGGAACTGCCATTGAAGGAGCCTGAGTCGTTGGAGCTGCTGTTGGAGGCTGAGTCGTTGGAGCTGCCGTCGAAGGAACTGCCGTTGAAGGAGCTGTTGTTGTAGGAGGCTGAGTTGTTGGGACCGCTGTCGATGTAGGCTGAGTCTAATAAATATTTTAAATTAACAAAAAGATTTTTATATTTCAAAATCTGTTTCTAAAATAATTTTTAAATTTTAAATTAGTTTGAGGTGCTAAATATCCAGTTGATGTCCTACCTGTCCACAAGGTGTTTTCTTTCCTTTTTTGCCGTGCCCGCTCAACTCATCTAATCCTTAACTCATCCACACGCCCAAAAATGCTCAACTCATCTAAACGGCTAAAATTCCTTAACTCATCCACACGGCCAAAAACGCTCAACTCATCCAATCCTCAACTCATCTAATGCTTAACTCATCTACACGGCCAAAAACGCTCAACTCATCCAATCCTCAACTCATCTAATGCTTAACTCATCTACACGGCCAAAAACGCTCAACTCATCCAATCCTTTGGAACGAGACTATTGAGTACCAGTCGTTTGAGTCCCTGGCCGTTTGAGTCTCTGGCCGTCTGAGTCCATGACAAGTTGAGTCCCTGGCCGTTTGAGTCTCTGGCCGTCTGAGTTCATGACCAGTTGAGTCCCTGGCCGTTTGAGTCTCTGGCCGTCTGAGTTCATGACCAGTTGAGTCCCTGGCCGTTTGAGTCTCTGGCCGTCTGAGTCCCTGGCCGTTTGAGTCCATGACCAGTTGAGTCTCTAGCCGGTTAAGTCCCTGGTCAGTTGAGTCCCGGCCGTTTGAGTGGTTGATTACCACCGGTTGAGTCTTGGGCCGGTTGAGACTCAACTGACCAGGGACTCAACCGGCTAGGGACTCAACCGGCCGATATTTCAAGGATTGGATGAGTTGAGCGTTTTTGGGCGTGTGGATAAGTTAAGCATTAGATGAGTTGAGGATTGGATGAGTTGAGCGTTTTTGGGCGTGTGGATGAGTTAAGCATTAGATGAGTTGAGGATTGGATGAGTTGAGCGTTTTTGGCCGTGTGGATGAGTTAAGTGTTAGATGAGTTAAGGATTGGATGAGTTGTAGGGTAGCCTTTTTTGCATTTCTGCTTAAAGAGTCCCCTTCCTTCCAAGTGCAAAAACTTATCCTACATGGTCTTATCACTAAGAAGCACTATTCAAAAAACCAATAGCTTTTACTTAAATACGTTGACAGATTTTAATTATATTTGGTATTTTGTATCTATGTGTATTAAATGAGGCCACTCGCAGAAATACATGAAAATGAAGGAAAAGTGCGCATTCCTTTTGCGGACAGACAACAACTGGGCATTTAATTTAAGGCATGTTAAGCTCTTTGTTAGTTAAAATGTTATTTGGCACGTGATTTGTTATACTATGTATAAACTTTATTTAAAAAAAATTTACTTTTTTATGTACATTGTGGTTTACTCAATAAATTAAATTAATTAAGCTTTATTTACATCAAAAACGAAATGAAGGCTTTTAATAAATGTTAAAATAAAAATATTTACAGCATAGTATGTTTTATTTGGGCATGCATATGTATATACCTCTTATGACGTTATATTATAAATCTCATCTCCAACATGATTGTTATTGTATTGAAGCATCCTCCTTAAAATAGGCAGTGTTATGTACTAGATTACAATATCTTGTACTAACAAAAGAATGAACGAGTTAAGATTAACTCAACATTATTGTGATATATACATATAAGCCGTTATGTTATTGTTAATATAAAAGCTATGGTTAGTGCCAACAAACCATACTAATCTAGTAATTGTCACAAATCTCACTCATTTCATCCCATCGTCCATCCAATCCCCCCTTCACATTTATTGTTATTCATTTAAGATAAACAAATTGTTATTTAACTAGTATTTTTTCTCTTAATAATTTAAAATGTTAGTAAAGAAATGTTAGTACCTAGTTAATAATTAATTTAATTTCAATATTTTACCGATTGACCAACACAGACATTGTTCACACATTCACTGTTATAACAAACTTTTTCTCCTTTAAATTAAATTGTTTTTTTTAATTTAAAAGCAATTTTGTACACCTTTGAAGAATCCTGTACAATTTCCTCCCGGACGCGCTTTTGCCGCGCAATGAGGGTCTCCATTGGAGAGGTCACAAAACAAATATCTTTAATTCATTATTTTAAAAATAATTTTTAATCATTTCCCTACTTTGAGCCGCAATCTGGTTTATAGGTACTACAATTTGGCCTCGGAGCATATTCATACATATTGTCTGTATATTCATTTCTACATCCATCGATATTTCTTATATACTAAAAAATGACTCTGATCTAATTTATACGTCCAGCGAATGAAAATGAAAAAGTCAATAACTCGATTTTCCTCGTACTTGTACTGTTCCAAGTACGAGGGACGAGTAAAAATTGTTACTGGCGTAAGCACTGTATGTGGGTAGTCTGTAAAGAGCATATGAGGAGTCTTGAGAGAGATAAAAGTTAATCTGTTATAGAATATAGGACATGTAAGGTAGCCTGAAATGGACATCGGAGGTTAAGTCTATAAGAAGCATCTGTTTCTTTTATTTATCTTTAACACCCTCATAAGCGTTTTAAATTATGGCAAGGCTTTCAGATCTGAATCCTTTCTTAATTTGTATCCCCTATTTATTTTTTTAATAAGAACAAATTACTGGAAATTGTGACATATTTTGATTTTTGTAGTTAACTTCTGTTTCGCAATCCTAAAAATATAAATTTATATTTCAAAAACTTAATTAAAAACCTACAGGATTATCAACTGGGTAATCAAGTGGCCTTCTATTATAATCTTGTCTTGCTTTACGCCACTCTTCAAAAAGCTAGAAAATTTACAAAAATAAGATTTTATGTTTATAAATTTCCCACCAAATCGATAAAACTGTGATGGTTGAAAAAACAAGGGTCATTTGCTGATGTACCTGGGTCTGACATGTATTTACCTACAAATGTGTGAACACCACCATGAGCATACTTTATATAGAATTATTGGTCGTATCTTTAATTAAAATTTTACAGACCTCTGGATATCCAGCTTGTGCTTTATATGGACACTTATCCCTATTTGGTGGTTGTGAATAAGCAATGATATTTGTAATATCAGTTTGTTGCATTTGCCAAGTAAAGCTGCAATTAAATTTATTTACAGTTACTATCAATCTCCAAAAGTGGCCGTTGGAGGAATTTTACTTTGTTTTTTGTCCATCTACTAGATAGAGATCGGACAAACGGCAAAATCAAATATTTGATCAAATAATTTGAAAATTATTTGATGTTTGAAAGAATTTGATTGGCAAAGTAAAATATTTGATCAAATATCAAATATGTATTTTAAAAAAATTTTGGAATACCATATAAATCGGTGTATTTGAGAGTATATCGAGGATATTAGAATATGGAGATGATATCGGAGGATTAAGATCGATGTGGAGGGATTAATGGTGGTATAAAGAATTGTAAGGCTTAAGGGGGATATAGGGGGATATGGAGAGATCAAGAGGAGAAGGAACACTTTAACCCACCGTTCTTCCTGGTAACAGGCTCCATGACTACCTACATCTCTTTCAATATATTCTGTATTCTATAATAAGACAATTTAAAAATATTTAAATAATTATTTATTAAAACCATTAGTGTTTCCCAGGGTGAAAAAGGCCCGTCAATAACTTGTCCAATATCATTTGTACTTCCAATAAACTGAAATAATTTGCTTTGTTTTAATTTAATTCTGGTCTCTTAAAATAAATACTGATTTTTAATTTTGTTCATTTTTTAAAACAGGTTCTGATTTTTATGTTTTAATTTAATTCTGATTTAATTTCTAAAATTACGTCAGCGGTGAAAAAATAAGAATCCTTAGGTGTCGGTAAGCGGGCATCCAATGTCGAATCCCAGTAAGGCAAACAAACATCTGCTGTTTGGAGAATCTTATAAGAAGCTTCACGCATCGCTAATTCAAATCTTAAAATTATTTTAAATTTTATTCGAAAAATTTTTACAATTTATTTTCCTACACTTTAAGAAATTCTCTATGCCATGGCAAGAAACATGGGCCGTTGTGTGCCGCACCATCATCCCAAGCTTGTTTATGTAATGTTGCCATTATAAGATAATCGTTATTTGCTTTCATTTCTTTTATTGTTTTGAACTAAAATTTATTTTGAAAATTTGAATAAAAAAGTTTTTATTTTTTAGAAATTCAGAAGGGCGGCATTGTTTTAAATATTTATTAAAATTCTGATATGTTTTTAACTAATGTTAATGTTTTTCTGAGATTTTAAGAATTCTGTAATTTTGTAATTCTGTAATTCTGTAATATTAATTCAGAATTAATAAAATTCTGATTTTTTTAATTCTGATTTTAATTAAACAATTCTGATTTCTTCCTATTTGCTAGGGAATCTTTAATGTTTTGACATTAGATGTTTAAGCTTTTTATAAAATTCTGATATGTTTTTAATTAATTCTGGTTTTAATTAATTTAATTTATAATTTACATAAGCTTGTCTCTGTTCATCTGTCAACATTCTCATTTCGTATCTAATACATTTTCCAAGTTTATTGCCGTTAGGAAGTTTACAACCATTTACTGTCCCATCTTTTTTACCTTTTATTAAATTAAAATTAATTTTTTCCCCTTTTTTAAAATTAATTACCATTAAGTGCAGGGCAAAAGCAGCTTAACGTTACACATCGCAATTCTTTTCTATCGTCAGGTAGGTCCCTTCCTCCTTGCGGCACTGTTCACAAAAATGTAAATTTATTCAAAATTAATTAATAAACTTACAATTTGGGTCCTAAAAATTAAAATTAATTTTTAATTTAATTTTAAATTAATTTACTCGAGTATTATTCTTTCCAGCTTCCATTTTTTCACAAAATTGTCTTAAATCACCAGGAAAGTTTTCATCACAAAATAATGTTGTTTTTACATTACAAAATAATGTTGACAATATTATATAATTTATTAAAATGAATAGACCCGATTTTAGTCGAAATGATAAATTCATTTCTAAAAAAATATTTCTTTTGATTTTTGTGTTAATTGGATAAAGTGATATTTGCTATTTTTGCTATTTTTCTTAAAATTTTATTTAATTTCCAATTATCTACATATTTCCTTTTCTATTTCCCATTTAATTTTACATATTCGCTCTTTTTCGAGTTGCTAATTTTTCTGACCGACCAACGTGCCTTCGAAACTTGTCTCCGAACATTTAGAAAATACTTTTTATTTCCTATTTTCTTACTTATTTTGAGAAATTCCTTAACTAAAAATCCCTTTATTTATTTTTAGAAATTATTTAGAAAAATATCTGAATAATTTAAAGATGCATTTGTGTCTAAAATCTAAAATATCATAAAATTCAATTTTACCTATATGAGGAACAATTTTTAATGATCCTATATTGTAAAGCATATAGCTATTTAATTCCTAAGGCTGAGCAGTAGGCGGCGTGGTGTAATGGCTAACACATCAGTCCGGTCTACTGAAGATGCTGGTTCGCTCCCAGCCGCCGATTAACCTTTTGCACTAGCTAAAGGAGAGAAATAGCTATAGCCCAGCTGCTTTACTATATTTTTATTTAAATTTTAAAAAATAACAGATTAAAAATTTTATATAAATTAATTTTTTAATTTTTAAAATTAATTTTTCTTGTTTTTAAAACCAAATAAAATTAAAATATTTTTAGATTTGTTGTTATGCTTGTATTTCTCTAATATAATCTTTAATTCATGTTGTCATTCTAAAACGTGTAATTTTTTCTTTAAAAATTTATTTTTAATTTTGTTATTTCCGTGTTTTCATCCACATCATTTATTTTCTCTAAAAAATTTTTTTTATTTTTTAAAGATATTTTTAACGAATGAGAGAGGAATGATAAGTAATATTTCTGAGTGTCTAAAATATTTTAAATAAATTTTGAAAAAATTCAGAATAAATTTTAGATTATTAAAAAAGAGATTTTTTATCTAAAAAAATAAAAAATGATTTAATAAAATTTATTTTTATTTTGGAAAATTTGGAATTTAAAAATATATTTAAAAATATACTACATATAATTTAATTATAATTATTTATTTTTCTTTCCCAGACTTCAATACAGATTCTTCCAAAAACATTGTCTCGACTTCACTTTCTTCATTTTTGTATATATTCTGAAAAATATTGTAATTTATTTAATTTAATTTGTAAAAATTACAAATGTTCGTTTCTCTTCAAATTTCAGAAATGTGTTTCTTTTATGTCGAAATAAACTTGTTTGTGTGTTGGCGTATGGGGCTGCTTTGCATATCTATTTAAGGGAAAAAATTAATTCTGGTTAATTCTGATTTAATAATTCTGATTTAAATTCTGATTTAATCTGGTAATTGTGTTTTCAATTAAATTCTGATTAATCAGAATTAATTCCCAACATGTTCAAACTAGAAATATAAAAACAAAAATTATCTCTGGACAGATAAAATCAGAATTTTATTTGAACACAATTAATTCTGATTTTATATTTTTGTTTAAATATTAAAATTCTGACAGAATTTATTTTTTTATTAATTTCTGAATTTTTACCGATTCAAGTTCTTCATCCTTTAAACACGTTTGGCAGCTTAACCGACAGTTTTCTTTCATCCAATCACTTTTAGCACATTCCCCTGCATTTGCCCAAGCTTTACATCTTTTATAGTAGTCAGAACAGGCTATATTTTATTTTATTTCTTAATTTAAAATAAATAAATTTACCTCCATAGGTAAAATTCCTTGGAAGACAACTTCCACAACTTATAGGGCAATTACATTTCATCCAATCAGGGCTATCTGTACACACACCGTTTCGACTCCATTGCTTTAAATAAAAATGATTTTTAAAAAATATTTATTTATTTAAAATTACTTGACAACACTGATTTTCATTGTAACACGTTTTCTTTGCACATTGCCCACCAGAAACAAAACTTTTTGTATTATTATTCACTGTAAAAGAAATTCTGATTTTAAGTTAATTTTAAATTTTAATTTTTAAATGTTTATGAAAAATCAGAATTATTATTCTCTTATTCTGATTTTAGTAAAACATGATAATTCTGATTTCAGAACAAGGTTTTATGTTAATTGTTTTTGTAAAAATCTGATTTTAATCATGTTTTTTTTAATTCTGATTTTTATTGTCATTATAAAACATGGTTTAAAAATGTTTTTTGATTTCAGAATTTTTTGTGTTTTCAACAAATTATGATTTATACAAAATAATTCTGATTTTTATATTTTTGTGTTTAAATGTAAAAAGTTTATATTTAATAATTCTGATTTTACATTTAGCACTTCTTCCCCTTGTTTTTGTACATGCCCAAGCTCTAGGTTCTTTACAGCGATTACATGTTTTTCGACAATTTTCAGTCTAAAAAAAAATTATTTTTTTTTAATTTTTCTCTCACCATCCACAATTTTTCTCTTTCACATAAACCTTGTTTTTTAAATTCTTCACAGTGAGGGTGGCGATTTAGACAACCTACATACATAAATACATATATTTAATTAATTTTTAATTAGAAATGATTAAAATAATTTTAAAAATAATTAAAATACCATAAATTAATTCATAATCTGGTTTACACTTTAAAAATATAAAAAATATTTTTTTAGTTTTCTTAATTCCAATACCTTTCCACAACTAGCTCTACACATTATGTCCATATAGGCAGAATTACTAATTTTAAATTAATTTACTTATTAATTTTACCAAACTTTTCACATTCTCCTTCATACGCCCAAATAGCACAACATTCATGTTCATTATAACAGGCAAACTTTATTTTAAAAATTTTTTATTAAAGAGGTTCTTCTTTAAGAGGAATCTTGTTGGGCTATAATCTCTCTACAATCTACAGCGCTTATGTCCTTATAAGGGAAGCTCGGCTTTATTTATAATTAGAGAACAAACAATACGAGAGATAACGTTCCCATACCACTACCAATATCTCAATATATCCCAATAAGTTCAAAAAGGGGTCAATCAATTTCAATATTAAGATAATTATTTTAGTAATCACCGCGACTTGATCGGGTATTTGTCCAGCTGGATCGTTTTGAACTCCTGTCTCCTTAACTTCATTATCCTCCTCGTCTCCATCTTCATCAGCCCTTAACTAAAATTATTTTTTAATTAAATTTTTAACAAAAAATTGTTTCCTACTTGTCTACCAACACAACGTCCATTCGAACAAACTCCGTTATAACACACATCCTCTTCTTTAAAAAAAATAATTTTTTAAATTTTTTCATCCTTTGTCTTTATTTTTAGAATTTAACTTACGAGAATTAAACCCTCTACAATCTCCACCAATCCTAACTTTGGATGCGCAGCGTGGAGCGCCATGAGAGCGATCACAAAATAAATAGCTTTAAAGGCAAATTTTTTCACATAAAAAATTTTCCAACCTTTCTCCCCCCCCCCCAAAATTTCCAAAATACCAGAAAATTTTACAGAAAAATTTTTTAGAAAATTTTTTAGACTTACGGCGACCCACAATTAGGCCCACTTTGGCACGTAGGTCTCTCCGCGAACTGATATAAATTATCTGTATAAGCATTGCTTAATCCGTCAACATTATTCATTGGCTTTTAAAAACAATTTTTTAATTAAAAAAATAATTTTACGTTAAATGGCAACATTGGTGCCCCTGCAAAATGCTGTGCAGGTTCACATTGCTTTTTAAAAGTTAATTTAATTTTAGAATTTAATTTTTGAGTAAACCGAGTTATCAGCTGGATATTCTGTCTCTCTTTGCTGTCTAGATTGTTGTCTTACACGATATCCTTCCCATATCTTTATAAAAAGAATTTTTAAATAGGTATGATTTGTTTCCTTCAGCCTGCCTAGTTTTTGATATTCCCTTCAGCCTATAAATTTTCGCTACTTTTTGATGTTCCCGTTATCTTGTTCCCTTCACCCTACCTTTCCTTGCTCCCCTCCCCCTACCTTCCCTTAATTTAGTAAAAATTAAGACACAAACATAATCAACAAAAGAATGATGCATATAAAATAAGGGATCATTAGCCGACGTCCGTGGATCTAACATATCCCCACCAACAAAAATGTGCACATTTCCATGAGTTAGCTTTAGTAAATTTAAAAAATATTTTTAAACTAATTAATTAACAACTTCAGGTAAATTCCAAATTAGTTGATATGGGCAACCCTAAATATTTTTTAAAAACAATTTTTTAATTTAAAAGAAAATCCCACAGCATTGGGGAAAGAATACGCAAGCATTAAAGCAATATCTCTTTGCCCCCAAACCCATTGAATTCTGAAAAATAATTTTTGTTTATCCTTTTGTGTTTTTATTTTACTGTGATTCTTGGTAACAAGCTCCTCCTGAACCGACAAATCTTGTTATAAAAGGATTTCCTTCAAGTGTCCTCCAAGGGGCAAATCTCCCAGAACGTAATTGTCCATTAGAATCTGCCTGTCCCATTAACTTTTTAAATTATTTTTTTTATTTTTATTTAAATATTTAATTTTAAACTTCCTGGGAAAATAATATTGAATCTGCAGGGGTTGGTAAAGCACCATCTAAAGTAGAATCCCAATAGGGTAAAGCGATGGATGGGTCAACCATGCGAAGAGCAAACTCGTACCTTTAGGGAAGGAATTAGTATTTATATTTATCGTATTTGCTAAAATAATTACATAGAGTAATTATAATGCCCCCCCCCTTTTGTAATAATAATGCCCCCCCCTTTGAGAGAGGGGCATTATTTCAGCATTTACGGTAGTCAAAAAGACATTTAGCCAAAAATAAATTTAATTATTTAACCTTTTCAAATATTCTCTGTGCCAAGGATGAAAAGCAGGACCCCCATGTGCTGATCCAGTTTGTACAGCTGTTGTGTGCACTGAAGCAATTTGATCAAAAAGGCCGTCACTTTTCATTTGAAGTAAAGCATTATGCTACATAATTTTTGTTCAAAATTATATATTAATTTTTATTTAATTTACATATCGTTGCCTTTGATCTTCAGTCATTAATCTGTATTCTGTACGGACTGCTCTCTGTAGGGGTCCATTAGGGCAACCTTTATATCAAAATATTTTCGGAATATTATAAGAATTCTAGTACATACCTCCCATAAAACGGCAAAGACATCCCAAATCCATACATTGATAGGGGGTAGCAGGGACAGCTGCAAAATTTGCTGCCAAATTTGGAACTATTTTTTAAATTAATTTTAAATAATTTTTTTAATAAATTAAAAACTATTTGGATTTGGAGGTCCGCCAGGAGGAAGAGGAGGATTTGGAGGAGGTGGAGAATTCTTTGGAAAAATAAAATTTTATTTTAATTAAAAAATAATTTAAAAAAAACCCTTGCAGCATTATCACTCATAGACAAAAATTGACAAGTTAATCTAGCAGCGTCTGTAGGAGCTAAATTATTACAATTAGGTGTTTGGGAATTTGCAAAATTGAATAAAATAATTATTAAATTAATTAAATAGTAAATTATTTTAGACATTTTCTTTTTAATTTATTTTTGTCTGAAATTAGCGACATTTGGGTACAAAATTTTTGGAAACAGTAACAATTAAATATGAATTAAATCATTTAGAAAGGGATATATAAGGATTTAATTTTATAAAATTATACAAATTATTATCGACAAAATATTACAAACTTTGATAAAAAAATTAAGAGGTCAATTAAATGTAAGACCAAAAATCGAAGAAAATTTGTCTGAAAAATACTTAATTTGCCTTAACTTTTTTAGAATTTTTAGAAATTTTGATTCTTTTTTGTTTTTTTATTTAAAAATAATTTTTATTAAGAAATATCCATAAGTGTACTCAAATGTCGTTTTTTAAATATTTATTTTAAAAATTATTTAATTTAAGAATTAAGTATTTATGAACATTTAAAACTAATTTTCTCGATATTTATTATTGCATAATTCTTTTAAAAAGGTTTTTAAAGCCTTTTAAAAAATATTTTATTATTATTCATATTATTAACAAATAAATTTGTCATTTAAATAATTTTAGCAAGTCTGGAGGTGGGTGGACATTTTTCTTTATTTTAAATTTTTTGGAAATAAAATTGTTATTTAATATCACAAATTGTTTAAATTTTTAATTTAAATGTCTGAAAATGCCTTCAAAAAAATAATTTAAAAAACTAAAATTCTTTATTAACTACATATATATACTACAAAAATAGACTAATTTTAAATTTTTTACAATCATTTTATTGTTGTTAATTTTATTTGTGATTTTGTAGTACTTAAATTTTCTTTAGCCAAACATATTCCATTTTTACAGTATCCATGCATACAAATATCCTCTTCTAAATATTTTTACATATTTTTAAATTATTATCCCCTAAGTATGAAAAAATCTCAATCCCCCCTAATCTCCACCTACCTAAAAACCAAATGTCTCGACCCCTTAAATATGCAAAATGCTCCCCGAAAAGATTTACTTTCAAATCCCGTACAATTTCCACCAATTTTAATTTTAGCCACACATTCAGGCTTTCCATGAGAACGATCACAAAACAAATATCTTTTTAAAATTATTTTTTATTTTAAAAATTTTTACATTTTTCTACTTGCTTCCACAATCCGTAATATTATCACAATTAGGTCTAGGGGCATATTCATAAAGCAAATCTGTATAGACATTTTTTAGAGCATCTATGTTAACCAAATTCTTTAAAAAAATATTTAATTTTGAATAAGTACAACACCCCTCATTTTGTCCGCAAATTTCTGGTTATCCCCCCCCCCCCCCCACCATCCCCCATCTACTTACATTAAAGGGTTCCATTGTTGCATTAGCATAATGGTCGTCTGATGCACATTCCTTTATTTTAAATTTAGATTTATTTTATTTCTTATTTTTTACTTCATTATCTGGTGGATATTGTAATTCTCTTTCTGTTCTATTTTGATTTTTATATCTCCACATTTCCCAAATCTTTAAAAAAAAAATTTATTTTTTAAAAATTTAAATTCACAAAATCCATAAAGCAATGATGATAATAAAATATTGGGTCATTTGCTGATGTTGACACATTTAGCATATCGCCCCCACAAAATACGTGAACCAATCCATGTATTATCTATTTAGTTTTTTATAAGGGAGGATCTCGCTATAAGCTTTATAACGAGGTCTATCTTGCATACGGGGTATCGCTTAGGTTACTATTTAAGAAATTTATTTTAAAATGACATGTCTTTAATATTTTGTGTATCTTATAGCGAATTACTTCCAGTATTGTACTAATTAAATATTTAAATATTTTAATTATTACCTCAGGCAAAATCCACGATCTATTATATGGGCAAGCCTGAAATTAGAAATTTACATTAAAGCGACATTTGTGGACATCCACTAGGCTTTCTATAAGTTATTCTTTTTAGGAAGTACATACTACACCAAAATATAATAGGGTTGGATATTATAGACATTAAGGTTGACGGGTAGTTGTAAATCTTCGGTTATCCGGATCCGGATATCCCTTACTAGCTTACTAAACATGACAAATTTGTCCTCAAATGTCTGTCCGCAAATGTCATTTAACAGTTAATTAATTTAAAATTTACATCTTTTGGTGTACTGTATCCAAGACAATTAAGAATGCCGTTTTTATTCATTATAGTATCAATACTTTAAGAAAAAAATATTTTAAATAAAAACTTTTAAATTCCCCTACTCTTTCTGTTTAAGACAACTACCAGATTCCCCCACACTTCTCGTTATAAATTGATTTCCCTTAAAATTTTTTTTCTAAAAATTTATTTTTATTTAATTAACTTCCAATGTTCTCCACGGTGAATAAGGGCCATTAATTACACTTTGGTTATTGTCTGTTTCTCCAAATAACTTTTAAAAATTTTTTTAAAAATTTTATTTTTTCTTTTTACCTCATTAGAAAATAAATAAGAATCTGCAGATTTAGGTATTCTTGAATCCAACACAGAATCCCAATAAGGAAGAGATATTGAAGGGTCATATAGTCTCATTGTTATTTCAAATCTGAAGATATTTTTATGACATTTTGAAATAAAAAAACCTTTTTAAAAACTCTCTGTGCCAAAGCAAAAAAGCCGGTCCAGAATGAGCACCTCCCTCAACAACTACTGTTTTATGTTGATTTGCGAATTTGTCATAATCTCCAGTTTCTTTCATTATTCTCAATATTTTATTAAATTTTTCTCTTTCCTTGTCACTTAGCATTCTAAATTCTTTTCTTACAGACTTTTTTAGATGACTTCCGTTTGGTAAAATACAAATACCTTTTTTTACTTTTCCTAGAAAAATTTTAGAATTTTAATTATTTTTTTTGATAATAAATTCAGTTAATTTTACAAAAATCTGAAATAAACAGAAATGAATTTCTAAATGTGAATTTTATATTATTTAGGGGAGTTAGTCATTTTATCTAATTTTGGAGATTTTGACAGTAATTCTGATTTTTATTTCTGATTTTTCAGAATTAAAATTTTATTTTAAACTTACCCCTAAAATATTTACACATACACAAAAAATTAAAACATTCTTGTGCAGATTTAGGCTCTAACCTTAATGCCGCAACTTCCAAATATTTCTTTAATTTTTAATTTATTTTTAATTTAAAATTTAATTAATATACTCTAGCAATAATATCACTTTTGTGTAATTGTTCACAAAAAATCCTCAATTGTTTATTTGGGGCATCTGAACATAAAATAATTAATTTATCTTCTAATGGCATATCTGTTGTTTTGTTTGATGAGTAAATAAATGAGGGAAGAAGGGAAATAATTGAGGAAAATATTAAAATAATTTTTTGATTTATTGAATGCATTTTGTTAAAAATTAAAAGCTTAAAACTGTGATTTTTTAAAGGAGAGATTCTGATTTGTTTTTGTTAAATTCTGATTTTAAATAAACATTTGTTCAACTTTAATTCTGATTGTGTTTTGTAAAAATTCTGATTTTTATTTCAAAACATGTTTTAATTAAATTCTGATTTCTCAGAAAAACATTAATTCTGGTTGTATTTAACAACTTGTTTTTTTGTATTTTACGGAAAAATTCTGATTTTTATTTTTGTGTGTTTTAGTATAAATTAAAATAATTGTGTGTTTTCTTAATTTCTTTAATATTTAAACAAACACAATTGTGGTGTTGTAAATATTTTAATATATTTGTGTTTCACTACTCTGTTTATTAAAATACTTGTGTGTAGTTTAGTTGTGTTTATTATTTTAATTTAAATAAGGATGTAAACACCTTTAAATTACTAATAATTTTAACTGAGGGAATAACGAAAATTTAGAAAAATAATAATCGTAAATTTTTTTTCAAAAAATATCTGACGTGGTTATTTTGTTCATCTAAAATAAAAATGCTTAAAATTTAAAAAGACGTTATGGAATATTCAACTTTTTTATAGAAGAAGAGGGATTTTTTAGGATTTTTTTTATTAAATTTAATAAGTACAAATAACAATATTTATTATTATATAAAATATTCAAAATACAATTAATTGTTAAAATAAAAAAAAGTTGAGCTATGGGGGAAAAGGCACATTAAATTAATTAATTAAAATATCGAGATCATTTATTTCTCACAAATTTTTTTTAATTTATTAAAGATTAAATTCTAAATATTCAAACAATAAAAAACAACTAACGACCAGCTACAAGTCTTTGTGAAGAAGCAGAATTAGCTAATCCTTGACCTTCCGTTTCATACTAAAAGAAAAAATAATTAAATAATCAAAATGTTTCTAATAACAACAGGTTCAGTATAGGGACTATATTATGGACTGTAACTTTTTATTTTTGGATCGTTCTGTATAATTCTTAAATCAGATACTTGATCTTCGAATTATTTTTATAGACAAAATTATTTTTAATTAGACAATCCTCTTAAAAGTTAGGATCTCTGAATATTTTTGAATATTTTTTTGTAAACAAATTTCTCAACTTGTCCAAATTATATTTTATATGTATATAATTTAATAAACTTACACGGCATTCAGTTTTTAGTCGAACAAATTCTTTGGCAATTTCATCATTCTGTCTTTGACTAAGTATCCTCAAAAGAATAAGTCCAGTTTCATCAATAAATAAACGCCGACCAAGTTGTACCCAACAAGCATAGGAACCTTTAAAAATTCAAAAAAAAAATATTTCAAAAAAAATTTTCATTTCGGACCTTGTTCGAGAACTTGAGAAAGCTGCAAAACACCCACACCAACAATTCGGTCTTCACGTGCAAAACAATAATCTTTTACTTGAAACATTAATTCGTAATGTTCTGGCTCTCCTTCATTGCCAATAAAGCTTTAATTAAAAGAAAATAAAAATTTGTAATTTAGGGTAGGAATCTTTTCATTCCCGGGTTCATGTTTTGAGTCATTATTTTTTTAATTCTTAACCGATTTGAATGATTTTTATGTCAATCGAATGCTCAATGTGCTGATTATTATTATTTTCTTGACAGGATGCTCAAATTATCAAATAAAAAATAGAGCTAAAAAAAGTATGCGGAATCGAGATTTTCGATAATTTCCCGTCGTAGCTTTTCAAAAGTAATCTATAAATGGTTCAATCCTGTCAGGTAAAATAATACTCGTATCAAGAGCTTTTGACAATTGACAAATTAAAAAAAAAGTTAAAACTATTATTTTGTGTTATGTACGTGACTTCTATGTCTACGTACTAACAAGAATAACAAGATAAGACAGACTAACAAACTGTGCTTTATCTACAAGACTAAATACAATAGTAGCGAACAATAGGAATATGGCCGAAGCCGAATATGTGGAGCACTAGAATAGAATAACAGAATAGAATAACGACTAACAGACACTAACCCCCGAATGGCTAAAGCCGTAGCCTTTTATACTAAGCACATACCCAACATCTCCCTCCTTTAAAAAGAATGATCTTTGAATCTGTAATGGGTGTGCTCGAATACTTACTCCAAAAACAAAAAAAATACATACAAAGGGCCAAAATTACAAAACAAAAAAAACAAAGGGGGAAAAAACAAACAAAAGAAAATTTACACAATATTATCACATTTATTTTCCCCAAATCATCTTATGAACCCAAGACTTCTTTCCTTCTTTGGCCTCTGTGCCAATGTTCTTCGTCTCTGCTTGGCTCTTCGAATTGTACTTGGAATTTTCAAGAATTTGCCTTTGAATTGAACTTTCTCTAGTTCTCAGACTGGCCCTCGAATCTGTCGAATCTGAATAATTCCCTTTTGAATTCATCGAATTTGGCTTTCTTAACTGCCATTTTTCTCTACTGACTACGGTTTTCAGCCAAGGGACTTCGACTTTATAATCATCTCCGAATTTACTAAGAATTGTCCCTGGCAACCAGACTGTTTTGCCATTTCTGTTCTTGTTCCATACGAAGACCTTCATGTCTTCTCTGAATTGAATAGAATCTCGCGAATTATTTGAATACTTTGACTTTCCCGAATAATCAGAATCTTTCGAATAATTTGAATTTCTCGAATCTTGACTTTTCCGAATTTTATTGCTTTTCCGAATACTTGGCTTCCTGCCTTTTTGAATAATACTGCTACCACTATTTTGACTCGAATCTTTCAACTCCGGAATTTCTACTGTCAGACAATGTGGTCTTGAATAACTAGAATCTACTTTCACATGATTGACTTCTGGACTTTTGCCTTGGCTCAACCTTTTCTTTGGTTTCCGGCAGTCTCTACTAATATGTCCAATCATGCCACACTTGTAACACTGACGTGAATCTCGAATCTTGAATTGGCCTTTTCGTTGCCCTGAATTATTTATTGAATTTCCGAATTGACTACTTTGAATATGTTCGACTCGACTAACATTATTTACATAATTATCAGGTTCTTTCTTGACCTTTGAATGACTGTCGAACGTTTCTTTCTTATCTTTCTTTTCTGAATAACTGCAGCATTCCTCTAATAGAATCATCAGACTACACTCGTCTGGCCTCGAATAACGCTCCACGAATTTACGACTAATCTCTCGAATATCTTTCATTTCTTCTGGAATAGCTGCAGTGAATGCTAGAATCTTGACTTCTTCGAATAGCGATTCTAATTTCTTATACCATTCTGCTGACTCTTTTCCATCTGAATCTCCGAATTTAGGATTGATCTCGCACAATCCTTTGAATAATAGAATAAACTGTTGACAAATAAGCTCCGTCTGAGCCTTGGAAATCTTCACAAATTTTTCATTTTCCATCTTGAATAGAATAACTTGAATACTGAATATCGAATTACTGAATTACGAATTACTGAATACAGAATTGAATATCCGAATACGACTATCCGAATAAAACTTGTCCGAATACAACTGTTCGAATATAATTGTCGACCGCGCCACTGTTATGTACGTGACTTCTATGTCTACGTACTAACAAGAATAACAAGATAAGACAGACTAACAAACTGTGCTTTATCTACAAGACTAAATACAATAGTAGCGAACAATAGGAATATGGCCGAAGCCGAATATGTGGAGCACTAGAATAGAATAACAGAATAGAATAACGACTAACAGACACTAACCCCCGAATGGCTAAAGCCGTAGCCTTTTATACTAAGCACATACCCAACATTTTGGATTTAAACGGCACAAAACTTACAAATGCATTGTTTCATTAAATTTCGGTGTCCAAGTATTTGATTGCGATTTTGTAGCCATTTTACGTTTTTTATCAGCCAAATGTGGTCCAACTAAGTGAACTTCTACAAAAGGTTTAAATGTTCCAGAGCCAGTTATTTGCCAGCGAAGATCGTTGGCAGCGATTACTGCGAGAAAATTAAGAGTATTTGATTATTATAAAGAGTTTAATTTACAGGCAAAACACATTCATAATAGAAAACCACAGAGTAGGGGGTCTAATTGTAAGAGATATTTCCTATTTAAAGACCACGTCATTATAAAATATTTTCCTCCCAAAAGGCGTATCCTCTTATACAAAGGTTTTTAACTAATAAAAATATCCATCCTCTACCTTTAACAGTAATTTTTTGTTCGCCAGTGTGTGGATGATTAAATAAATCAACTTGGACACTAACTTCCCCAACAGGTTGGTCTTGTGAAGGTAAATCTTGTTGTTTTTGTGTTGAAATAAATGTTCTAATTAATTGTTCTGTTGTTTGGGTATACAATGAAAGGGCGTATTTTAAAGATTGTAATTCTGGGGATTTTTCAAAGAAAGATTTTTTGAGTCCTTGACCGCCTGCGTGGAAACACTGAAAGAAATAAATAGATAAATTGTTGTATTTTTATTTAATTTTTTGTATTTTCTTTTCAAGTTTCTAATTTCTGATTTGTAAAAGAAATATTTTTTTACTTCTTTTATTGCATCCAAAGCAACATCAAGTAATCCACACTGTCTCGGAGTCAATGAACGTTCAGAATTATCACGTGCCGCATCCATCATTTCTTTAACAGAATGCATTCCTCCCCTTAACCCACTCCCTCCTCCTCCACCAACATTTCCTCCTCCCCCACTTATCCCTCCAATATTTCCCCCTCCTCCACTTCCTTCTTTTAAATGTGTTGTGTGTTGTAACATTAATTTTGTAACACCTTTAGCACTAGGTAATGCATGCTTTAATAATGGAGCTGTAGAAGAAGATAAAGATCCGCCTAAAGGGGGTAATACTACTTGCTTTTCCATTGAAATTATTGTTATTTTCCATAATTCCTAAAAAATTAAAAAATTATTTTGGAGAATTTTTTGAAAGAATCCTCACTAAAATAAACCCAATACTAGCACCCTTTCTATTAAAAACCGATTAAAGGATTTGATTAGCAATTGGGTAGAGGAGCTATTCAAACGAGATAACTAACCCAATTTAAAACAAACTTTAATATAGGATTTTCACATCTCCAATGGGGGTATCTTATAGTGAGGGTCTAAACATTCTTCTTTCAATACCTTTAAAATATATTTCAAAACAGTCTTTTCACATTGCTGTGCATATCGTTGTAAAGACCGTTCCAACAAATTCATTAAAGGTTCCAATACCATATCCACTTCTCCCCCCATTTGGCTTCTTTGTTGTTGAGGCCCTTTAATTTTAGCCAACAAAACCCCAAGTCTGCTCATCTGTTCCTGAATTCCCGATTCCAAACTTGCAACAAATTGCCCAGAAAGACGATCCAAAACTGTATTTAACTTCTTTTGTAAACTATTTAATACACGATTTGAATCTGGGTCGAGTTGTGCACCACCCATGTTTTCATAGATTTTTTCTAGTTGAACTCTAAAAAAGTGTTAATTATTGACGTCTTTAAAGGATTGTAGTATTTTGACGTTTTTGGGGAATTGGGTGTTTTGTCGAATTTAGTGGTCTGAGGCATTTTGTCGACTTTAAGGGGTTAGGCATTTTATCGGATTTAAAAGGGTTGTTTAGTTCTATCGAATTTAGGGAAGAGATTATCGTTACACCAAAATAGACTTATAATTCTAATTTTAAATTTGATTTTACAATTTGTAATTTTAATTCTGATTTTTAATTTAATTTTTTAATAATTCTGAAAACTCTACATAAATACCTCAATTGCTGTACATTATTCATCAAAATACAGGCCAATTTTTCACTCTCCACATATTTACAAAAATCTTTCTGTACCATATCAGAATATGCCAACAAAACTTTATTTAAAGTTGTAGCAAATCTCCTCATCATATCAACACAAACTTCGGGATTTGGACAATCCATCTAAATTAATTTTAAATTTTATTTAATTACTTTCCATTCTTTACTTGTTTCAAAACTTTCAAAGCTTCATTTAATTGAGTAAAAACATCAACTACAGAATTACTAAATTTTGTATGTTCCGACGTTTGAGGGAAATTGTCTGCCTTGTCACGGTTGTAAGCATTCCGTAATATATCCTTAAGAGATTTTTTTAATTTTATATGTAGATTTAAGGGGTTGGGCCCGAACCCGTAGAGGAGGCATTTTAGGGGGGGTCTAGTTTAGACAAAATTCAACTTAACTGCAAAATCCTAATAATTAATCTCACCATAGAATGCTCGTCATTCTCATTTAGCCAATCCATTACAAATGGAACAAACCACCTAAAAAATAAAGAAATAATTTAGAGAAACTAGTAAAAAAATTTTTTTACTTTAAATTTAATTTCTACGCAAATACTATTTTTTAAAAATAATTTTCTATAAAATAATAATTTAATGAATAAATGGAAGAGAAAATATTTTTAAAAAGCTCCTTTTTTAGTTAAAAGCTCCCACAATTCTTTTTTGAATAAAAAAATATTAAAAAGGTACTTCCTTTTCCCCCTCCCTTTTTCATTCAATTTACCCAATAAAGTAAATAGAATTTGTAAAATAATGTTTATTTATGGAAATATTTATTTATTAAATGTTGCCTTTTTTGAGAAGAAATTTAATTGTTAAATTGAATTGGGAAATTTACAAATTCTGAATTTTTAGCAAATCAGAATTTCTGTGAACAAGAAAAGTTAAAAATCAGAACTTTTTAAATAAAATTCTGATATTTTAATTCACAAATTCTGATTTTTATAAAAATATACAAAACTTACTCAGGAAATTCTGGAATACTTTCACGATATTGAGGTAATTCTGCTACATACATTGAATAAAAATGTTTAACTTTAAAGTAGAGATTCTATAAAAAGAAAAAAATTTTTTAATTATAAAATTAATTATACTCTCACCATATAATCTGGAGTTTTGCAACGTTTAGTCTTTGCATGTTCTAAAAAAATGAATTTTAAAAAATATTTATTTTAAAAAAAAAACTACCCACCCATAAGAGCATCCTTCAAATCAGTTTTGTATAAATTCCAAAGAGTTGCTGCAGACAACTGACCAACTTTAAAAAATCAGAATAAAAATCAGAATTTAAAAAATAATATTAACTATTTAATTCTTGTGGAAATTGATTCAAAACAGGAGTGTAAACATTTCTATCTTCATCAATTACACCAAGCATATAGTCAATAAAATCAGACCAGAATTTAACAGATTCATCTGTCGGCTCACACTTTTCACAACAAGTATCGAACATTAAATGGTAAGTTGTCTGAAAATTGAGCGAGAAATTAATTGAGAAGAAAATCAGAATTTGTAAAATCAGAATTTTTAATTTAAAGAGTAAAACTCCCCCTTTCTGATATAAAATTCTGATTTTAATTTTATAATTTGTAAATTTCTGAAAAATAATTGTAATTTATTTTTAATTACAAATTCGGATTTATTAAAATAAATACACACCAACAATATTTTCTCTTTAATATTAACAAAATTCTAAATATACATAAAATAAGAAAAATGAGAAAAACTAAAAAGAAGCCATAAATGTTTGAAGCACTTTTAAAGTTGACAATTTTTCATTAAAATAGTATAGTTTTTAAGGATTTTCCTTTTATATATTTATTGAAATATGAGAGGAAAATTTTTTTTAAAAAACTAACAGGATTGACGTTATTTTTCTATTAATTTTCAATGTAAATTCAAAAAAAATTTTAGAAAAAATCAAAAATGCGGAGGAGGGGGGAGTGTAAAAATTAGTTTCAATTTTATAAAAAAGGATATGGACATTTTTAAAAATTTTTTTAAAAGTCTAGTAGAAGTAGATAATGAAGGAAAGAACTACCCAACTAACTAGCCTCTCAGAAAAACCAAAAAAGGAAGTGGGAGGAAGGAGAGAAGAGAAATTTTATATAAAAAAGGAGGAATATATTAATATTTTAAAAAAGCCAAAATTATGTGTAGATTGGAATCAAGATAAAAAAAAGGGAAAAATATTTTATTTTTAAAAATTTTTAAAAATGTTTGTGCTAATTTTCTTGGCAAATTTCAAGGATTTTCCAAAATTTTAAGGATTTTTCAATACATTTTTAATAATTAAAAAAAGGAAATTTGCCAAGAAAAGAAATTTTTAAAAGTTAATCTTAAAAAAGATTTAACCAAAAATAAATTTTTATAGAAAGTTTTAAAATAAGAATTAAAACTTTCTCTAATTTAACTTAAGTCAGAAAAAGTAATTTTTAAATAAAGATTAATATCCAAAATTCTTAATAATTTCAATCTCTTTAAATTAAATAACATTGGGGCTAAAAAAAACCCCGACACTAAAAGGAGTGTATGTTAGTGGAAGATTCTACTTTTAAAAAAAAGAGGAAGTGAATTTAAAAAAGAATAAATAAAAACAAAAATATTTTTGTTTTTAAATAAGTACTATAATAAATGCATGAAAATTAAAGGTTATTATATTTCCTTCTTAAATTCTTTCGGTTTAATTTCAATACATTTTTAATAATTAAAAAAAGGAAATTTGCCAAGAAAAGAAATTTTTTCAATTTTTTTAGGAATTTTCAAATTTCAAATAAATTTTTAAAAATAAATTGTTTAATTTAATTTTTAATTAAAAAAATAACTCTACCTCCATACAAGCCTTTGCACATTCTCTAACAACATTTGAAGCACGTGGAGGACTAGCTAATTCTAATACCTTTAAAAAATTTATTTTTAATTCAATTAAAATATAAATTTAGATTACTACCTTCATTCGGAAAAAAGTTATTGAAGTAAGCAAATCAACTGTAGATTTTAAGTCACGCAATTTGGCAAAATTTGAGGCTGGGAAGTATTTCTAAAATTAAAAAAATAATTTTAAAAAAATTATTTCAAATCTCTCATCTAATACTTACAAAATCCCCTCTTCTCCCCCTCCCTCCCCTTCCCTAAAAGCCACTCTTCCTCATCACCTTTTGTTGTTGATGTACTAAAGGTGTTAATCCACCATTAATGGGGGAAGTAAATAACCCAACTAATTTCTCACAAACACGCTCAATTGCATTCCCAAATGCTCCCGGAGCTGCTGGACTTGAATGGCGACGAGCACTTAAAGCCCGTCTTTTTCTAGATATTGTACGATGACGCCATGAACCTTTACGCATTGGTAAAGGGGGATGCGCATTTGGAACGGTGAGCATTTTTGGAAATGGGGAATCAAGTAGAGTGTTGTAGTTAATAATTTACAATTATATTATTCTAAAATCAGAATTTGTAAAAAAATACAAAAATCAGAATTTGTAGTTTTGTGTATTAAAAAAATTAAAAATCAGAATATATGTATGAGTGTAAAAATAAAAATAAAGAAAAGAATGTGTTTTTAAATTAGGCCTCAGTTTTTAATATTTTTTTGTATAAAAAATTTTTTTATCGAAAAAAATATACAGCAAATATAGAAAAGAATTTTAAAAAAATATTTTAAATTAAACAAATCAACTGCAAGTTTCTTCTTCTTTTTTAGCCTTTTTTTATTTTGTTTAAGCTTTTCTTTTTTTTAAAAACACACCCTCAACCGGGATTTAGTAGACTTTATTTTTTCCTTACCAGATTTGCACTTTTCCCTTTTTTTATTATTTGCTAATTTGTAAAGCGTCGCCCCGCCAATTTTTTAACATTTTTTGTATAATTAAATTTTTTAGTGAAAAATAAAAAAAATTCCGATAATGGAAAAAAGAAGAAAAAAATTGGGTAAAAAACGTAAAATTTGTGAAATAAATTTTTTTTAATTTAAAAATTATGTTTAGAAATTGCAAAAGAAAATTTAAAAAATAATGATGATAATCCTTTACAAAAAAAATTGTTTGAAATTAAATTTTTTACTTTCTCTACAACACGTCTTCTGCGCGTATTTAAAGAATTAAAAAATCAACAAAAAAATCGAAAATATATAAAATGACAAAATAGTAAAAAAATATTTTTGTTGATGTTGCCGCCGCCGCTTATTTAATCCTTTTATTTATTTTAAATTAATATATATATCCACACACACATTCACTCTACCATAGAGTAGGTATTATTTAAAAAGGATTTAAAAAATCGTTTGACAGATATTGAGTGAAGAATGTGTGTCTAAAAGGAAATATACTATAATCTTTTTTAAAAAAAATAAGTGCATAAAGGTGCGAACAACTCAAAATATATTCCGATATTTAGAATAGAGACAACAGAATTAAAGCTAGGTAAATGATAAAGTATCGAGTTTTTTTGGTTTAAGAGGCGAATTTTTGAGAATTTTGGCAGCCTGCGCATACTTGAGCATCAATTTTTTTATCTGATCAAGCAATCCTCCAGTATTTATTGTGAACATTTTTCTGCCTTAAAATCTAACTGAATTCGAAAAAATAAAGGTTAAAAAAATAAAAAAAATCGTATTTAAATATAATTTTTTAGCATTTTTTAAAATTTTTAGAAGTTTTTAAAAATCCAAAAATAAAGTGTTTGACGAAAATAGTTTAAAAAAATACAATATTCATGCCAAACAAAAGACTAAAAATGCCAAGACTTTTTTTAAATTTTTTAAATAAAAAGTCGCCCTGCTGAGATAGAAAATACTACACATTTAAGGAGGATAAAAATACAAATCTATATTTGTTTTAGGAACTAATACATATTTAAATTAAAATTTAAAAGAATTGAAAATAGAAGGAGATAGGTAAGAGAGGAAATAGAACGCATGGGGGAGTTTCTAGAAGAAATCATAATCTAACAGATCTGTATCAAAATTTCAATTTTTTTTAATTTAAAGAATATTTTGAGGAGATGATTTTTTATGAAAATATCCAAAAATTTGAAAACTTTTTTTCTTCCTCTTTCTCTCTCTTTTTTTAAATTTAATGAGTTTTTTAATGCTTCAATACCTTTTAAAATTTTAAAAAAGAGTAGATAGAAACAAAAAATGTTGCTATATACTTATTTATTAATAGAAATTTTTGTGTTTTTTGCATTTTAAAATTTTTAAAAGGCTATTTTTAGAAAATTAATAATTTTTAAGTATTTTTTAAAACAAAAAATATTTTTTAAAAATTATTTCAAATATCGGAAAGTACAGCAACATAACCGCTGATAAGGAAGTCAAAAATCATGTATGTACGGGGAAGCAGGGAAAGATTTTTCAAAAGGAATTACAAATTTTAGAAAAAAAATTTTTCACTAAAAATATTTAATGGAAGAATCAAAATTGTTAGAAAATAAACTAAAAAATTTAATTTTCACAATTAGAAAAAGAAAAATTAGAGGAAGAAGAGAAGGAAAAGGACCCAGCTGGAAGAAATAGAAAATGCTCTAATAGTAAAACAGACAAAAACAATTAAAGTTGTTTGTAAATTTCAATTTTTTGGCAATTTTTCTATTTTCCCAAAGTATCAAGAAATAATAAAAAAATATAGAAAAAAATAAGAAGGATATTTTTAAAAGATTTTTTGTAATAAATTGTTTGAAAAAAAATTTTTTTCAAAATTTTTTTGCAACAATATATTTAAGCTTTTTAACAATTTTTTAAACATAAAATCTGTATAAAATTGCTTAATTCTTCCATTTTTAGAAAATTAAAAAAAATGAATTTTGAGAATTATGAGAGAATAAAAGAAAGAGAAACAAGAAAATTAAAGCCTTTTTAAAAGCAATTAAAAGGCTTTTTTGTTAATCCAAAAATATAATTTTTTTAATACAAATAAATATAATTAGATAGAAAATATAATCAAAAAATTGTAGTAATTTTTTAAATTAAAAGAAATTAATTTTAAAAATTGAATTAAAATAAAATGGAACAAAATTAGTTCAGAAAATTAAAGAATAGAGGGAGAAAAATAAAAGATAACCAGACAGTGTTAGTGTGGTTAAGTTGGTAAAGCGCTTGCCTTGTGAATATTTGTTGAGCTTTTTAACTGATTAAACTAGGAATTATTTTAAACCAGCAAAAACTCTGTTTAGTTTAGTTTTAAAACTAAACTTTAAAAAATTGGTCAATGATTATTTATAGTTACCGCCCCAGACTGAAGTTTGTAATGAGGATTCGGTATTAGATGAGACCAAAAATATTTTTATTTCTTTTTAAAAAATCACCCACCCTATACATTCCCAAATCAATACGCAAAGAATTGTGTAATTGATCCAGCAATTTGACAAATCGATCCTTTCCAAAGTTTGTTGCATTAAAGCGATCGGGAGCAGAAACAGCAGCCTAAAAAAATAAAACTTTAATTGAAAATAATTTCTAAAAAAACTAACAGTAGCAGTTGCATGTGCATAATGGGCATTAATATTTGCTAATAATGTAGATAAAGCCGCGGGAACACCAACACACATATATTTAGTACAAAGACAGGCAAAATGAGTCATTGCCTTGACAAAAAATTAATTTTAATTGTAATTTAAAAATATCTCAAGTTTTGCTTCAACAATTTGTTTCAAGTTTTATTAAGATTTTTCTCAAGTTTATTTTTAAGTTCAAACTTGAGGCAGTAAATACAACGTTCCCCTTATTTCCAGGATTTTCTAAAGTTTCACTCAAGTCTAATTATTTTTAAATAAATTTTTTTCTCTCCAATTACTTGATATATCTGTTCAATTCCATAACGCATTGTAAATTCATCAACAATCATTTGCCCAACTTCATCAAAATATATTCTCCAAGCCTCATCAGCTGCTAGTTGTTGTTGTTGTGGTAATTGAACATCGTCTTCCTTATATTGATGCAAAAATAAATGTTCATGTAAACAAGTATATTGTGAATGATATGGTGCTAATCTTTCTTCTCCTTTAATGTCTACTTTTATGTAAAGACGAATTGCTCCGCTAACAACTGATTTGTCAGTACGTTTTTCTATAAATTTTAATAAGTTTTAATTATAATTGCTTCAAGTTTTGTCAAGTTTATTTTAAAGTTTATTTTTTATATTTAATTTTTGCTTCAAGTTTATTTTATATTTTACCAACTTTTTCAAGTTTATTTACTTACATATTTTATAATTTAAAGTTTGTTTTTATTTTTTACAATTTGTAGAAGTTAAATTAAAGTTTTTAACTTATTATGTGTTTCAAGTTTATTTACCATTTTTACAATTTGTTTCAAGTTTATTTAAAACTTACCCAAATTATACCAAACATCCATTTCACCAGATAATGTCCGAACTTCAATAATTGTTTGACCAAGAAAATCATCAGATTCGCGAGTCAATTTTTGACGTAATTTACTTTTTAAATCGTTGTCTTCATCCCAAACACGTACTTTTATTCGATCAGTAGAATTATGACATTCACTAAAAAAATTTTAAATTAAAAAATTAAAAAATTCCCTTACAAAGAAAATTTCTCATTCCATATTGGATTTAATTCTTGATGTATTGTTCTTGTTCTCTTTCGTACTTTGCCAACTTGCACAGTAACATAAGGATCACTTTTGCCCGTTTTATCTTTGCCACTTAAGCCTTTTGCACAAATAACTTGAAATGAAACTTTAATTGTAAATGCTTCAAGTTTTGTCAAATTTATTTTAAAGTTTATTTTTGCTTCAAGTTTAATTTTTACATTTTACAATTTGTAAACTTAACACTTACCAGTAAGTTGAATTTTTGCACTCCATTTAGAACTTCCTTCAAGTATAGAACCTTTAACTGCACGTAATGTCTAAATTTAAAAATTTTAACTTCAAAAAATTTTTTTTTTCAAAATTTCACTTCTTGTTGTATATTTTCATTATATCCAAAAGCTTCTTGAATTCTTTGAAAAATTTCTGGTTTGTTTCTTTCCTGCATTTTCATTCTTTCATGGATTACTGCAATTAAATTTTGTGCTCTATCCCCTTCCCCATGTTTGCTACTCTTTTCAGCTGCTCCTAAAAAGAATTGTTTGTAAAGATCAACAAATTTTCAAAAGTTTAGTACTTTGTAAACAATCAGCACTTAAAAGTTCTCGACATTTATCATGTACTTTTACACCACATTCTGTGCAGCGAAGACCTGTAGCAAGAAAAGAAAGGTTTTACAATTAGTTTCAAGTTTATTTTATATTTTACAATTTGTTAAAACTTTTTGTTTTTACAATTTATTTTAACCCTACAATCTGTTTCAAGTTTATAAGTTGTTTTAGTGTTGTTTTGTATTTACAATTTACAAGTTTATTTTACATAATTTTAATCAAGTTTATTTAAAATATGCTTGAAGTTTCTACTCAAAATCAAGTTAATTCTAATACACACCTTGCCGTGCTATTCCCCACAAAAGACCTTCACATTCATAGCACCAGGTGGGAGTTTGAAAGTTGGTCATTTGGAAATTATGTGGAGTTGTTGCACTTATTGGATAAATAAGAGCTTGAAGGCACTTTCGGTAAACTAATTGTTTCTAGAAAATTTTAAATTAAATTAGTTTTGATTTTTGAATGTCTCTTAACCAATTCATGATCCTGTACAGTTGTTTTTGCAGCATTTGCTAAAGCTGTCCTTTTTGTGGCCATTGTCTAAAATTAAAATATAATACATATGTATTATTTTTAATTTTTAAGAAATACTAATTAACAAAGACAAACAAGAAACTAAAAAAATTTTGTGGGTATTTTTAAAGAAACATTTAAGTGTTTAAATAAAAATTATGTGAAAAAAAATTTTGAAGTTTGCTTCAAGTTTATTTTTACAATTTGTAAAACTTGTTTTTAAAACAAGTTTTACAATTTGTAAATTAAATAAACTTGTTTTTCCAACAAGTTTATTTTCTAAATTAAAGTTTTAGTGTTTTTACAAAAACATAAAAATACAAAACAAAAACACAAAAAACCGTGAGAACATTTTGTAATTGCTTCAACATTTTCTCACCTTGAGCACCTGAAAGAAATTATCCTTAAGTAATTGTTGTAAATTACAATTTAACAACAATTGTTCTTGTTGTTCTCGTTGTTGTTTTGACTCTTCTACTATATTATTCCACCACCAGAAACACCACCAAAATTCTTCTATTTTAAATTTATTCCCCAAATTTTTATTTAATTGATTATTCATTTTTTGAATTTAAAAAAAAATATTTTTTAATAATAAAAATAAAATTACGGATTTTCAAAAATAATTTTTTAAATATTAAGGTCAATATATATTTAATAGAAACTCTCTACACTTCTCGGAAATCCCCTCCCTTTTCTCTTCAAGTTTTTTTTATTGTCAAGCATCAACAACAACAAGAACAACAACCAACAATAAAAGCGCTTAGCGCGAATAACCCATTTTTGGAATTTATTTTTTATTTTTTAAATCCTTTTTGGATTTTTTATCTTAGTGATATTGCTAGAAAATTAAAAAAGAAAAATTTAAACAAAATGATAGAAAATAATAAAAAAAATTATTAAAATTCAAAAAAATCCCCCCACCAATTCGCTGACTGGAATAGACTTTTTTGTTGAAGAAGCATTCATTGATGGCATAGCATCGATGGAACGATAAAAGGCACTTCCAACAGTAGCACGCGCACCAACACTGGAAGGCATCAAAAAGTGACCGTCAGCATCGAAAACAGAACTCTATAAAATAAATGAAATTTAAAATATTTTTTTATTTTTTGTAATTATTTTAACACTAAACTGCTACATAAATAATTATTTTAATTATTATACAATTAATTATTAGCAACTAACAACCATACATAAAACTTTTTTTACAAATTGTAATTTCAAATTACAAATAAGCCTTATTATAAAACTTTCTTTACAATTTGTAATCACAAATTACAAATAAACCCTCCCTTTAATTGCTAGCAAATAATACAACTTTCTTTTTACAATTGTAATTTTATAATTTACAAATACCAAAAAAAAATAAAAACCTTTTCCCCCATTAAAGCATTATCAAGACTAAAAGCAAATAATTCTTTTTTCTCTTCATTTTTCAATTTAATATTATATATTTCTGCCAATTTAACTTTTTTATTATCAATTAATTTATTATTATTTTTATTATTTAAATCTTCAATTTTTGAAGAATTATCATCAATATTATTTGGCACAAGTGAAAATGAACGTTTTTTTCGTATTGCTTGACGACGAAGAAGAGGGAAATTATTAATTTTTGAAGAAGAAGGAGAAGTTGATGATGATAAGGAAGACAAGTCAAAATTTTTGTTTGGTAATTGTTGACTATTAAGATTTTTGATATTCTCATCAACTTCTTTTAATTTAATTTCAACTATTGTAGGAGCACTGTTTGAACGACTTATTTTCCTCACATTTTCCAAAGAAATATTCACAAAATTATTATTATTTTTGATTTTAGGTTTCCTCTTTTCACTTCCAAACGTTTCAACACGCCTAATCTTTTTAAAAGATTTGGAAAAGGCAAGCAAAGCTTTTGTTGGATCTTCTATTCCCTTAAAATTCTTTTTCTTAATTACTCTTCCACTTCCTCCTCTTCTTTTCTTTTCTATTTCATCTCTTCCTGTTTTTAAATTTCTTAATCTTTCCTCTTCTTTTTCTTCTCCCATTCCTCCATAATTTAAATAATTTATTCTTCCCCTTCTCATCAATGGCAATGATTTTGGAATAAAATTTGTTGAATTAGAGGAATATGATGATCCAAATGAAATAGCAGATTGGGGAGTATCAGAAGAGGAAGACGACAGAAATCTATTACAATTTCTTAAGGGAGGAGGTATTTTACGATGTTTATTTAATGTTAAAGTGGAGGGTAAAGATATGGATTGTTCATCATTCCATTTAATAAAATAATTTTGTTCAGCTTCACTTTTATTTTTTGTTTCACTATCAAAATCATCATCCCTCTTACTTTTTATCATTAAATAACCTCTCCTTCTACTTGAACTTCTTTTAATTTCTTCAATTTCCTTTTCTTCAGTTGTTAATAAATTACTAACAATATTTGCAGAATGGCAATGACGTAGCTGATTTTTAGGAAATAATAATAAACTTGAAGCATTTTTATTTGATTCAAATCCTAACGAAGATGTTTGTAAATCTTTTGAATGTTTTCTTGTTTGTTTTGATTGTTTGTTGTTGTTGTTTGTTTGGGTAGTTTGTTGTGAAACATTTACAATTTGACTACTAAAGTTGTTTCCAACAATTGAAGCAGAAATTTGTTTTAAAGAATGAACTTGATCTTTTAATATTGTAGCTGTTGGGGAAGAACAAATTGAAGTATCAAATTGATTATTTAATAATTCTTTTTCAACAATTTTTATTGGGGATTTTGGAGGAAAATCAAATTCTGATACTTGAACTGTTAAATTTCTTCTAAAAAATAAACTTTTATTGCTTCTTTTAAAACTTTTATTATTTTTAAAATTATTTTCTTCTTCTTCTTTTTCTTTCTCCAATTTAGGTAAATAAACACTTGTAGCATTCATTTTAGCTTCTAATCGTTGACGACGTAATTCATTTAAAATATCCTTTTTAGAAGCAAAAACTAAAACATTTCCTCTTCTACTATTAAAACTTGCCCAACTTTTTCCTACTATTTTTCTTTTTTCTACTAAAGTTGGAGAACATTCAGTTGTAGCAACAGATCTTTTCATTTGTTGTTCTCGTCGTTGTTTTTGTTGTTGTTGTTTCTTTATATTTTCAACATTTTTATCACAACTTGTTCGGAAACTTAGTCCATTTCTAAAACTTAAATTGTTCTTTTTGTTTCTCTCTTCATTTTCTGTTTGATGTGAATTAACAAGAAGACAAACATTTGTTGATGTTAGTTGTTGTTGTTGAGATTGTTGTTTGTTTTCTTCTTTTGTTGGGGATGTTTTGACTGTTGTTGTTTTTGCTAATATACATGTTTTTAATGTTTTTGTTGGCAATGTTTTTGGAGATGTTTTTGTTGATGTTGTTGGGGATGTTTTGAATTTTGTCGAATAAATTAATGTTTGTGGAGTGTTGTTTGTTAATAAAGATGTTTTAGTTGATGTTTTAGTAGGTGAATGTGTTAAAGATGTTTTTGTTGGATATGTTATTGTTGTTGTTGTTGTTGATTCAATTTCCTGTTTTGTTGGTAATAATCTCGTAATAAAGGAATTTAAATAAGAATATGAACATTTCCAAGGAATATTATTAATTAATGATGGCGATGAAGAATTATTAACAGTTGAGTTGCTTGAGTTACTCGTAGTATATTCCTCATTAAAATTAGCTACACCATTAGATTTAACAAAAAATTTATTTTGTTCCTCCTTTTCATTCCATCCCTCTTCTTCCTTTATCTTCATTTCATTTTTCCCTTCCATTTCTTTCTTTTCTTCTTCTTCCATTCCTCTTTTTTCCTTCTTCCTTTTCTTCTCTTCCTTCCATTGGTATAAATCAGAAGAATCTTTGGGAAGATGGGTAACAGTAAATTTTGGGTCTTCTTTTGAATTGTATCGAATTGGAAGATTAGGTGAATCAAAATGCTTTTTATGAATGGAAGGGGAAGGTGATCTACTACTTCCAAAAAGCGCAGAAGTCGATAAAAGGGTTGTTACTGAAGACGAGAACAGTGTGCCAGAGTAATAAATTAATATATTTTTTTATTTGAATTAAGCTCTAGTATTGATAAAGAATATTTAAAAAATTTAAAAAAAAACAAAAAGAGAACAATAAATGAGTAAAAATATAAAAAAGTTATGTAAAATTAAGAAAAAATTAAAATATAATGAGAGGCAAAATTAAAAAATTTAATCTCTTACAAAAGCCAATTTCCCGGAACAGGTGAAAAATTATGAGAATGGCATTCAAGTTTTTTTTAAAAATAATAATTTCCTCCATTAACAAACATAATAATTTTTAATAAAAATTAAAACAAAACTTTTTTTTAAAATAAAAGCCATTAATAAGTAAATAACACAACAAAACATATTTAAAATAAATATAAATAGTTTGTGTTGGCTTCTATTAAAAATTGTTGTGTTCAGAAAGTGAAAAAAATGTTCGGCAAACTTGAAAGTTTATTTTAAAACAAGTTTTGTTTCCAATGTTTTGTTTTGGGAAATTTTGTTTAGAATGTTTTGTTTAAAACTTTGTTATAGAAACTTGTTTAAAACTTGTTTTGTTTTTAAAACTTAAAAGTTTAAGTTTGTAAAAAGTTTAAAATTATTTCAAGTTGGAACTTTAAAGTTCCCGTTTCTTAAAACTAAAAAGGGAAAATACCCCCATGTTTTGTTTAAAAATCTAAATTTAAAAAATAGTTCTAAAAACAGGCTGATTATTCAAAAACAATGCTCTAAAAAATAAAAATAAATGAAAGTATAAATATGTGTATATTAAAGTGAAAGGAAAGGAAAGTAATGCGAAGACATTTTTATGCTTCATCTAGCAGACTAATTTTAGGCAAAGAAGGATTTTGTGCTAATTTTGAAAAAAAACTCGATATAGTGTAGGTGTAAGCATGTAAATAATATATATATTTTATAACAATGAGATGGAGTTTTTTATGTAAAAAATAAGAGAAGAATATGGCGGAAGAACGGTCAAAATATATAAAAAAATATAATTAATAGATAAAAGGATAAAAGTTGTGTTCCTTTCTTGTGTGAGAAATGTTTAAATATTTGTTTGTTTAAAAAAAGTTTTTAAAATTAAAGTCAGAAACAATAATGTTTCTCATGTTTTAGTTTCAAGTTTCAAAATTATATCCTCTGTAAAACAAGTTTATTTTTCAAGTTTATTTTTTGAACTTAAAACTTGTTTTACAACAACTTATTTTACAAACAAACTTGTTTTAAACTTAATTTCTAAAAGCTAAGGAAAAAAGTTTAAATAAAATTCTAAAAACTTAAAGTCAACAAAATTAAAACAAAAGCAAACACAATAAAAACATAAACAAATACAAAACCTCAATTTACTCTTATTTTGAAGAAGCCAAATAAATTTTAGCTAGTAAATAAATAAATAAATTATTTGGCATTATATTTTTCCTTTTCAATTTTTTGGCCTTTCCCACACTACAAGACTACTAGCTTCTACTATTTATTTCTTTATCAGTTCCTTGGTGACTCTTCATTTTGACTTTTTCTGTCCATCTTTTTATCCTTTTAAATCCAATTACACACATGATAAAATTAAAAGAAGAAGAAAAATAATAAGAACAAAAGGGCAAATATACCCTCCCCAAATATCTTAGAAAAAATTCTCTAAAAAAATGTTTGATGATGAATCTAAAATAATTATTATTTTAAGAGTTCAGAGAATAAAACAAATAAAATTATAGGAATAAATTTAGTATATTTAAAGAAATAAAAATATATTTAAAGAAATAGACAGACATATAATGAATTTAAGAAAATGGACAAAAAGTATATTTTGTATAAAAAAATTTTTTGTTTTGGCTTTATTAAAGATTTTCCATCTAAAAAAATAAAAGTGAAAGATGTAGGTATAAAAAATCGAATCAGTTTTTTAAAAAAATAAATTTTAGGTAATTTCTTGAATCAACAACTAATTTTTTTAACTGACTTAACAAACAAAGAATAAATTTTTAAATTTATTTAAAAACAAAAAAATATTTTTTTGCCTTAAATCTAAACTAAAAATATATGCAAATTTAAAGAAAAGAGAAAATGACGTTTTTAAAGAAAGATGGGTGTGTGTGTTGCGTGTGTGTTCGTAAAATTATTATTATTTAGCTACACCTCAAAATTAAATTAAGTATATAATTTTACATTTATAATTAGTTGAGGGTTTTACGTGTAAAAGAAGAGATTTCTAACGTTATATTAATAAATTAGAATAATAAAAAAAATAATTTAAATAAACATGTAAATTGGAATGATTGTTTACTTTTTTCTGTCCAAAATTCATGAAAGAAATATTAGAAAAATTGTAATGATATTGAAAAATATCCAAAATATGAATGAAGATTTACATAAGTACTTGTACACAAGTAAAAAAAGAAATTTAGAAACAAAGCTTACAAACACAAGGGAAGCAATAAATCTTACAGTGTTAGTTGGGGGTGGGGAGTAGGTGGGGGTAGGAGGGAGATCTAGGCTGATAAATTCCCAAAGCTAAGATTTGTGAATAGAAATTAACTAAAAATATATAAATGGAAAATTAACTCAAAAGGATTCTGATTAAAAATAAAAATAATAAAATGTTATAAAAATTTCAAAATAAAATTATTTTATATAAAATTTGAGAAGGTGTAAAATTTAGTAAATGATTCTGGCACACACATAGTCTTGATTTAAATAAATTTTTTGACAAAATAAAAAATATTTAAATGAATGAATAAGTGCATAATTAGTGTAAAATATACTTAATAAGAACAATAAATGCTTTCTTTCTCTTAAACGGTTGAATTAACCCAAAATTATGTAAAATAAAAATAAAAAATGTCTAAAAAATATATTAAAATTAACAGAAAAAAATAAAATATTTAATTAAAAAATATTTTTTCCCTAAAAAATGCCCTTTAAGAGTAAAATCTAGATTTCTTTAAAATTATTTGAAAATATATATTTGTCCTACTATTTGGTCGTTGCTCTATTTTTAAAAAAATATTACTATTTGTTAATACACAAATATACTATAACAAAGTTTGTCTCCCCCCCCCCCTTCTCTTCAAAAAATTTTTTTTTCAATTTTTATTATTGCCAAAGGGTTATTCTAGTTCGTGCCTTAGGGCCATATTTTATCGTTCTTGTCACTCTTCGGCAATAACCAAAATTAATATTTAAATAAGTGTTCTGTGAACAATAAAAAAGGGCATAACAATACCCTCATTCAAATAAAACAATGAAAAAACTAAAATAGAAAAAATTGGAGGGAAATTATAAAGTGAAAAATACAGCTCACTTAAACATGCTTTTTATTCTAGTTTTTATTTAGTTAACATAAGATTCCTCAATTTAACATCAATCATTACAATTGAGATACGATTGTAGTTGAATTTAAGGATAGAAGGTTATTTAAAAAAAAAAAGAATTAATTGAGAAATAATTTGTAACAGTTTCTCCATTAAGAAAAGGAATCCATTTAAATTTATAGTTTATTTATTGCATAATTGCTTAAAAACAAAAAAAATAGTATTTTTTTCTAGTGTGAGATGAAGCAAAAAAAGTGCCAAAATTCACCTAACAGTTAATAGTACTCATCTCTTAACTCTTTCACTTTTATCTACACTTACTTTCATCATTCAACGAGGAGAGAGAAAAAACAAATAAATAATTTATAAATCGCGCATGCATATAAACTGGAAATTTTTTTAGTTTTTAAAGTAGAAAATAAAATAAAAAATGATGGGAAAAGTTGACATTATATAGCCAATTTGTGTGTGTGATTTTTTATGAATATGTAGATAAAAAATAAATAATTTATGCAAAGATTTGTAAGAATAAAATTAATAAAAGTTAGCTAATTAAAATAATTATTTCCAGGAAAAGTTTAATAAATTTAAGAAAAAAAGAAATAAATTCTTCTTCCTTCCTTAATTAACACGCTCATATATTTTTTGTTGCTTTAAAAGAAAAAAATACATATAAATTCAAGACTTAAATTTCAAAAATTATTTTTTACCAAAAAAAATATTTGTTGAATTTGAAATTAATACATGTAAAAATTCATGTCAAAATTTAATTTTTGTTTTGTTTGTTTTAAAAATAAAAAAAAATTTTTAAAGCAAAGAAAGAAGAAAAAAAATAAAATAAAAATAAAAAAATATTTAATAATAATAATTGTAATTTGGTTTTACAATTGTAAAAAAAATAAAAATAAAAGTAAAAATCTGATTTTAAATAAAAATATTCAAAAGAAAGAGAAAAAACAAGCGGAAGTTTGTGAATATATTAAAAATATAAAAACAGGCGGAATTAAAACAAAAACAATTTGTAAAATAGGCGGAATAATTAAAGTAAACATGATTGTAAACTTAAAAATTCTTAGTGTTAATAAATATTAATTATGTAGCAGCTTTACCCGTTGGAAATTAATATTTAAAAATTTTATGTAAAAATTAAAAAAAATTAATTTTAGCCACCGTAATTCCAGCTTGTTTACAAGCCTCTCTATAAGCCCATTTCCAAAGCTGTAAATAATCTTTAGTAGGTCGTTGCTCATTTTCACAAGACAAGGAAATACGTGGAGGTATTGTGTTGTTTGCTTGTTGTTTCGACAAGTCATCGGTAGAATTTATTTGATAACTTTTAAAAAAATATTTTTTGTCAAAAAATAATATTTTTTTACAAAACTTACTCATTATATTCTTGTTGTTGTCTATATTCCCGATTAATTTCATTTTCTTCTTCTTGGTGGTGTGGGGGAAATTGGCCTGAACGAGTATAATAGACTCCTTGACCACGAAGAGGATCCTCATAACCAATCTAAAAAAATTTTTTTGTAAGAAAAAATGCAGAAGGGGTCAAAAATAGATGAAAAATTGACCCAAAATAAATATCATTCAATTATTTAAAAAAATTAATAATTTCCCCAAGCGGATTCGAACCCACAACCTCAACTACCAAGTAAAGACGTGTAAAATTATTTCAAATTTTACCCCATAATCTTCATCCATTCCATGAGTTACCACCGCAGCTTCAGATGACTCCCCAAATTCAATTCCAGAAGAAAAATGCTGTTGACGTTGTGCTCCGTTATTATTATTATTTTCTTTTCTTTCTTCTAATAAGCGCGCAGATGGCCGACTATTATAAGAAAGTGGCTCCTCCTCCTCCTCTGGGTCAAATAATTTTTCTTTTTCTTCTCCATTTTTGTTTTGTTTAAAGCAAGAAAAGGTTCTACTACTATTACTAGTATTAGCAGACGTGCCAGGCACCATTGAAATGTTATTTTTCTCGTCTTCTTTTAGCTTTTCCAATGCTTTTTCTTTTTTCTTCTCTTTTTCATCTTCATTTGAGTTAAATGTGCCTGAATACATTTAAAAATTGATAAAAATAAAGTGCGCAAAATAAAAAAACGAGTATAAAAAATTCATGACGAGTAAAAAATACATCAAAAACAAGTTTTTTCTCAGACATTTAGGAGTGCAAATATTTGGAAAAAAATAATAATTTTTTATATTTTAGGTAAGAAAATATTAAATTTTAGAGTTATTTAAAAAAATCTCTCCGTTACTACTCTATACCCTCTAACAACGTTTTTCGAAAGTTTGGTCGTCTACCGCCAAGGGTGAAGCTTGTCTAAGAGATATCCTCTATTCTTATTACAAAATATAATTTTTTAGCCCTAAGAAGTATCCAATAAAATTCCCCTAAATCTAATAAAAAATTTAAAGAAATTCTTCCCCTTACCCGCTTGTTGACTATCATAATGTCTTCCGGCAGCTGCCAACTTTGCTTTATACTCTTCAATCTCTGCTAACAATTCTTGTTCACTTGGTTGTATTTTTCTTCTTTCATTATTTATTTTCTTTTCTTCATTTAATCTTCCAAAATCTTCATTTATTTCAATTTCCCTCCTCCTTCTTCTTCCTCTTTCTCCCCCTTCTCCATCTACCTCTTCCTCAATTTCTTCTTCCTCTCCTTCAACTACATATTCTTCTTGGTCTTCATTAAAACCTTGTTGATGCTGAGAATGTTGCTGAGTTATTGTTGTTCGCCAATTTGGAAGTTCATGAATATTGACTGGAACTACCTAAAAAATAATAATTCTTTAGTTCAAAAGTACCCAAAAACAAATCTCGATTCTTACCGTTCCAGTTGAAGTAAATCCATCAGATTCAGAATCATAATAATTTCCTGCACGGCTTCTTCTACTACTCTCATTCATTTGTTGGACTGTTGAATTACTACTTCGACTATCTGTAAAGCCAGCACGGCCACTCCCTCCACCACCTCCACCATCGCCGACAGAAGAAGTAAATGATGGGGAAGGAAATACTTCTTGCACATTTTTAAATTGATGACCACCAATTCGCCCATTTCTGTTATCCTTTCTACTACTAGATTGAGAAGATTGAAGCCTTGGAATATGTGAAGAAGAAACAGCAAAAGGCGAAGAAGAAATTTGGTTGCCCCCATGATAGAAGTTTTCGTCGATATTTTGAATTTGATCAAACGTTTTTGAATCAGTTTGACTGTCATCATCAAAATTATCAGTATAATATTGTTGAGTTGATTGTTGTTCTTCTTCTTCATAATATTGTTGCCCATCTAAAAAAGATAACAAAACATTTCTAGGTATTTTATATCACAATAAAAACCTGCAAAATATTGAGGTGTTAGAGATGGAGGGGTATTTCTATTGTCAACTAAATTTGGATGGAATAATCGTTGGTTATGTCTCTGTTGTTGCGAATAAAGTAAACCTTCAGGGACATATTGTTGTTGTTGTGAGTATTCTGAAGTATCCCATTGAATGTTTGAAGAAGTTGAAGGAAAATAATTATCGGAGGGAACAAGTCTGAAAAAAATATAGGTATATATAAACATTAAGAATGTTTTACAAGTGTTTTTGGGATGGTGGCAGCCATCTTTTGGTTTTTGTTAGGGTACCCATCAGAATATGGAGACAGTTCCGTAGCCACGAGTAGTGCCCCCTCCCCCCGAAAATTCTTCCGGACTACGGGAAAAAACTTATCATAGACTGCGGGTTCGGGTTGCATTTTTTTGTAAAAAATTTCAGAAAAGCAGCAGGAGGATAAAGCTAAAGAAATTTAACAATCACCTATTAGAAATTGAAGGTTGCTGCTGTTGATTAATCGTTGTTCTACGCAAGTGAGACTCGTATTGATGTGCAGAAGCGTTTGCTTGATGTTGTTGTTGTTGATGCGCTCCGGGTTGAAAAGAAATTTCGGAAGTGTAATCAGAATCTTCTGAGATTCCGGCTGAAAATTAAAAAATAAATTTTTTATTTCAAATCTACACACTAACAATGTAATAATTGTGCTCGTTGATTAATTGCTTCAGCTGCAATTCTTCCTCTTCTACTCCGACCACCGCCGTTTATTGGTAAATTCTCTTCTGGTGAACGGTTAATGCCGCCAGCAATGTAATCCTCGAGATTAATAAGTTCCACTTCTTTTTGACTAATTTCTTCTTCTTCTTCGTCTTCTCCCTCTTCTTCTTCTTCTTCTTCCTCGTCTTCTATTGATGATTCTTCTTGGGGATATTCGTAATTGTCAGAAACATTTTGTTGTTCGGGAACTTCTTGGTCATAAGAATGTAAATGTTGCTGTTGAAATACTTGTTGTTGTTGTATTGGATGATGAGTTAATGGTGGTGTATGTTCGTCGTTTGAATCAAAATTTAATAATTGTTGATGAACATCAGAAACTGATTCAACACCTAAAAATAAGTACATTGAAGCTCTGTTAATATGTCTTTCCAGGTATATGAGAGAGATTGACGTGTGATCGGGAGTAAATATGACTAAAGCACACCCGTCGTGATTAAATTAAGCAGACGTATGAATAAAACCGATACATGATTAGGGAGACGTATTGATGGAATTTAATTATTTAAATTAAAAAATAGAATCCAGAAATTAATTTTTTTAATAATTTATAGTTTTATGCGTGCCAGAACATTAATAATAATAAAATAGCAAAGAATATAAAAGAATAAACAAATTAGTTTTCGCGCCTTGGATTTAAGTATTATTTAGATAAAAATAATGAAAAATGAGCCAAAAAATAACCAGAAATAGAATTGATGAAAAGAGAAAAAATTTTATTTTTAAAGATATTTTTGAAGATAATTTTTCTGTAAGATAAAAATTTAAAAATTTGAAAAACAAGAAAAATCAGAAAATAATCAAAATAATTTTGTGTCTGAGAAAATGAAAGTCAAAAATTTTTGAAAAATCTAAGAAATGCACTTTATATTTTTTTAAAATGAGAAAAATGTTGTTGTTGATGTTCTCTACTTTTTTTACTCAACTTTTTGTATTCATTATGCGCGCAAGTTTCCCATTATTTTCCATAGAAACATAAAATTAAAAAAGTTTCTCGTGAGAATAATAAAAGAAAATAAAATTTAGGGCGAAAAGAGTCAGTACACTCCGTTAACAGTGTTCGAATCAGCTCAGTATTGAACCATAACAGGGCCTTCCAGATACAAAAACTAAATGAATTTGTGACGGAGTGGAATGGCGGCGGAATGGCGCCTACTCCTGTTTAGAGATGTTTCTAATTTTTAGTTCCAAAAAAGTAAAGGTTTAAGATAATCTAAAAAAATATATTATTTATTTAACTAAAAATTGTTTTCAAGTTAAAATATTAATAAAATTCTGCTATAAAATTCTTTTGATTTCATCATGTGTTCAAGAAACCCAAAAACAAGAAAAACCGGCTTATAAAAATAGAAAATTCTCATTAAAAACATCAAAAACCATTAAAAATATTTGTATATTTCCCAAAGGAATTTTTGTGTTTTTTTTCTTGTTTTCCAAATTTTATATATTATTTTTTCTTGTACAAGAAAAACATTAAAAATTATTATTTTAGTATATCTAGGAGGGTAGTCTTTACATATATAAAACTAATAGAAATATTTAATTATATTTTGGAATAAAATTAGGAAAGAATAAAAGTTGGGAAAACTAAAGAAAAATAAAATACCCTCACTCCCTTAATAACGAAAAAATCAAAAATTAAATTTGTTGCAGAAAAACATTTCAAAGGTTGCAATTATTCTTCATTAAATTAATGAAAAAATAAAGGAGGAAAGGCAAGAATTTTTTGCATATTAAAGGCCATAAAGAAGAAAATATAAAAAAAATAGGAAAATTAAAAAAAATAATGAACAAAAAGACGCAAAAGGGTAAAGAAAGCCCATTAAAAGGAATTAAAAAATTTGGATTTTTTTAAAGAAAATGTTTCAAGTTTAAAAAATTTTTACTTAATTTTAAAGAGGTTTCTCTCTCTAATAATAAATAAATAAAATATAAAAAGCAATCTTCCAAATTTCCTATGCTTCTATTTTATTGGCAATAAGGTGGCTAACAAAAAAAATAAAGAAAAGAAAATCTATAAAATATTCAACGAAGCAAAAGAGCGGAACTAGGAATGAGGCGCGCCGAACAGGATAAATAAATATTGGTTGGTATTGAGGGAACAATTGTGTGCCTTTTGCGTAGGCACACAATTGTTTGTGTGTTCCCAAAAAACTGTCTCTCACACCTTTTATTTAAAGTTTCAATATTGAGGTAAAAAGTAGACCAAAAGAATAGATAATAGAAAGAAAATAAGCATACATTCAAGAGTTGCAATAGAACAAAAGAAATTTTTTAAACAGTTTAGTTTTGCCCTCTTATTTTACTACAAAGGGATAGAGTTTCATATTATGGAGGAAATTAAAAAAGGGTTTCAAGTAAGGTTGGCGGATCCGGATATCCGGATCCGAAAAAAGGCCGGATATCCGGAAATTTTCGGTTCGGATACCGGATCCGGATCCGGATATCCGAAATTTTCGGATCGGATATCGGATCCGGATATCCGAAATTTTCGGTTCGGATATCGGATCCGGATCCGGATATCCGAAAATTTCGGTTCGGATCCTAGAATTACGGAAAAAGGAAGAAATCTTGCCCAATGGCCTTCCAAATTTCTCAAAATTTTCGCCTGCGGCGCTGAAAAATGAACAGATCTGGTAGCCCAGGCTTCCAAAATTTACAAAATTTTCGCCTGCGGCGCTGGAAAAGGAACATCTGGAAGTCTAATCTTACAAAATTCCCAAAATTTTCGCCTGCGGCGCTGAAAATGGAAGAAATTTTGCTTCATTTGCTCCCAAAATTACAAAAAATTTTTACCTTCGGCGCTAAAAAGTGAATTTTTTTGGCCTACGGCCTTCCAAAATTACCAAAATTTTCGCCTGCGGCGCTGTCAGTGGAAGAAATCTGACTTAAGGACCTCCAAGTTTTAAAATTTTCGCCTGCGGCGCCGTCAGTGAAAGAAATCTTAATTAAGGACCTCCAAGTTTCAAAATTTTCGCCTGCGACGCTTAAAAGGGAAGAAAAGGGGTTTGTATGATAACGGAGGATTTACCTCTAAGTTCTCAGTATTCTCTTAATCCCACGATCCCAGATATCAACTTACCAAATTCAAAAATATGGAAATAGCCTATGTATCTACTACTTCCCCCAAATCCACTAAATTCTCACAAATCATCAGATAAACTACAAAATTTTCCACACATTGATTACACCTAAATAGATAACTCTGTTAAGCATAAATTATCTCGATAACACTGTTAATCCCCAAATCCAATCATAATTGCTCTAATCCCTTTATATTTTCCATAAGACTCAACTTTTCAGCGCCGCAGGCGAAAATTTTTAAAATACAAATTTCGGTTCCGGATCCGGATATCCGAAAATTTCGGTTCGGATATCGGTTCCGGATCCGGATATCCGAAATTTTCGGATCGGATACCGGATCCGGATATCCGAAGATTTCCAACTATCCGCCAACCTTAGTTTCAAGTTGAGAATTTCAAGTTTTTTTATAAAAATTAAATATTTACCGTAAGGAAGTTCAAATCGACAGTCAACCAACACAGAATGACCAGTAGAATGTAAGGTTCCAACAATATCCCCATTCAATGTTCTAAATTCATGATCAACTTGTAGCCATTTACCACAACCAGAGGAATTTGAATACCCAACATCACATAATCTCATAAAACAAACACCCAACAATTTATCCCACAAAACTCCTTTATTCCATAATTCAAGAAAAAGAGCTTGATCAAGTCTATTTGTTTCACTGAAAAATATTTAAAATAAATTCTTTTTTAAAGAAATCTCACAAAATAAATTCTTGTTCCCATTGTGGTTGTATTCCTCTAACAGCAACAGTTGTAGATTTTACATTTTGTAGCTTTAATGTAACATAAGAATGAAATTCTTCTAAAAAAACAATTTATAGCAATTAAATTAAAGTTTATTTTTAAAATAAACATTTTTAAGTTTGTAAAATTTAAATTGTAAAAGTTTCAAGTTTACAAGCTTATTTTCAACAAAAAAGTTTTAAAACTTTTCCAGCATTTTTAAAAACTTTAATTCAAAACAAGTTTTTAACACGAACTTGGAATTTAAAAATAAGCAAGTTTTTCAACTTTAAAGTTTCTACAATTTAAAAACAAATTTATTTTTCAATTTCAAGTTTCATTTTCGCCTTTAAAAATATGTAAGAATTTCTACCTATTGAGCCTTGCAGCTTTGCACGCTTCACTATAAAAAAAGTTGAATATTTTAACGAACTTGAAACATATTCATAAAAATACCTGTTACACACAATAAAGACATGTGAGAAATGTTGTTAACAAATATTTAGAGGAAAAATATAAACAATTAATTTATATATTGTTTATGTTTCAAGTTTGTTAGATAAGAAAAATAATAATAGCTAAAAAGAAATTAATAAAAATAAATTTTAAGGTTTCCAATTATTTTTAAATTTATTTTACTCCCACGCCCAAAAAATATATATTAAAAATTATTTGATTTTTTAAAGGAAAATTTAAAAAATAAGTTTTTTTTATTTATTTTTATTAAAGACCGTTGAGAGGGATTATTAAATAAAATTTAGAAAAAAGAAAAGAAATTTTAAAAAAAAATTTAAATTAAATAAAATTACATAATAAAAATTTTTACTAGAAAAATTGAAAAAAAAAGAAAATAAAATTCCCACTACCAAATAAAAGATTTTTCAAGTTTAGGCAGAGCGCGTAAAAAACTTGCGATATTTCTATATATCCCACTCCCTTTAAAGAAAAATTATTTTCAAAAATTGAATTTTATAAAAAAATGAGAATATTTCAAGAAAAGAAAAATAATTTTAGAAAAAGAAATTAATTAATATAATTAAATAAAAAAAATTTTTATTTAAGGCTTAAAATAAAATATATAAATTTATTTATGGGCAATTTTTATGCGTGTCAAATTACTACCTATATGTAAAATGTATGTATATATTTGCGCTTAAAAAATAAATTTGACGAAGAAAAAAAATTATTTTAAATATAAAGATATATTTATTTATTTAATATTAAAAATTTTTCCGGATGTTTTCTAAAACGGATTATAAAAAAAGTTTTGGGAAGGACTAACATAAAAGCTATTAAAATTTTAAAAATAAAAAATCTTTTTCTACAAATTATGGCCAAATTTAATTTAAAAAAAATAAAACGAAGTCTAACAGTCCATCTAATAATAAACAAAAAAATTTCTTTTAATTAAAAATTAATTTAAAAATATTTTTTATTCCTTTAAATTTTAAATGTCAAAAACAGAAACAAAAATAGCCGTCATTAAAAATCTTAAAATTAATAAAAAAAAGTTTTTAAAGTTTAAAAAAAGCA